TCATAATCATTATTAACACCACTTCATTTTTATTATTTTCATCTGATCATCACCATCACCAACATCAATCATCGATTGCATCATCACTAGATAGCAGTAGCAAAATTTTCAACCGTTCCTTCATTTTCATTCTCATTTTCTCATCTCTATCATTGTCATCAACATCATCATCATCAACATCATCATATGATTTATTTATTTATTTACTTACTTAATTCAGCAGTTGACTGGTAGGTTGACTAATAATTAAATATCGTTATCACTCATTACGATGATCACCATAATTTTTTGATCATCATAATCATTATCATCTTCATCCTCATCATTATCATTAGCAAGAGCACCTGCAGCGTCAGCAGCAGCGAAATCATAACCAGTTATATCGTCATCATTTGCATCATCGTCATTACCATCATCTCCATAATCACTGTCAAAATCAAAGTCATCATGATTGATTGATTGACATACTGTTTGATAGATTGATTTATCACACCTTCCACTGGCCCTTAACCTAGCAACAATGGTGGAAAAGCCATGCATACACAAATATTACTTATATCATGTGTTACCAGAAAAATAATCCTAGCTTACATCACTTAAGTGGCGTCAGATAAGAAGACGTTATAGATAGAATCGACGTTTATACAGTAATTAGTCCAAACTCAAAAAGCCAAATATTGTATTGTGTTATCTAATCGAGTCTATTAAAAGGCTGTTAAGGTTTCAGCATCAAAAATATCCATATTATTTATTTTCAGGAGGGTCCATCATTTTTCTAGTAACTTTTTTTTTTTTTTACCTGTATGTGCATATAATATATTTATGATCTTTTACTTAAATTGATAATTAAACCTGTTAAGGTAAATAACGAATTCGCCATTAAATTCTCCAATACTTCTAAGATGTGTATGCAATTGGACCCCACTCAGAAAAAAAAAACAATCTTCTTAATGAAAAACATACTCTCCAGAGAAAATAATTTGCGTCAGTAAAGCTGTGAGCCTAAAGTCTGACTACACACTGGTAATATGTGATTTGATCTGAATTTCATGATTTTGGAATTTAATTTATTTAAGTAAACGAAGTAAAATAGAGTTAAGGATTTAAAAAATCTCTTTCGGCTTCGGCGGAGACATAGATTGTCATAAAAAGTCAACATGATTAAATCATCGTGCCTTTTTTAATCAGCTACCATGATATAACAAGTTCTATTATTATTATTATTATTATTATTAATATTATTATTATTATTATTATTATTATTATTATTATTATTATTATTATTATTATTACTACTACTATTAGGTTCTATTGTTATTTTAATTTGTAACCAATACCATTTCCTTATACTTGCTTTACCTTGTATTTTTCGTCAGTTGTCCTCACACTGATGAAGAACACATTAGTGTTTGAAATATTTGTGATTTAATAAATTATATTGCCTCTAGTACTGTCTCTTATAGAGTGCTCAAACTACATATAGTAGTGGGCCAGCTAAATGCAAAACAGCAATGGTACTATCTCAATAGAGTGCTCAACAAAACAAATGTTAAGGAGCTATAATAAGTTCAATCAATCCGCATACAACGTTGTTTTGTCCTTTGACTCATCAGGACCTTAGCTATGAAACAAGCAGTATGTAAAAAGGCAGCTTAAAAGCGTTCGTAATACCATGCCAAGAGTGCTCAAACAAATTGGGCCAGCTAAATGCAAAACAGCAATGGTACTATCTCAATAGAGTGCTCAACAAAACAAATGTTAAGGAGCTATAATAAGTTAAACCAATCTGCATTCGAATTATCAGTGCAGCTCAGATAAATTTGAGATTGAACCTTAGCTATGCAAGCAAGCTTGTAACAAGGCAGATTAAAAGCGCTCGTAATATTATATATATAATTGTATATATAAGGTCCTGGCTTCGATTCCCGGTGGAGGCTGAGATTCATTTTTCATTTTTTTTAAAATCCAATTCCTTTATTAACACATTTATTAATTGCATTATGTGGCCTGATGTTTATAGGTTTATCCGCTAAAATCTAATGAATTTACATCATGGATTACCTGGCAAAGTAGCACGTATTATCCAATCCTGTTATTACCTGCAACACTATGATAGTAATTTAAGTTTAGCTTTTAACCGACGAGAGGTACAATGCTTCACAGCAGTTTACTAACCTTCCAGTAATTTAATATTTTTGTTGTATATTTTCAGGTGCAATGGGTATTATATGGTCGATTTTTTTCATCATTATTAGTCATGAAAGTCCATCAGCTCATCCAACCATTTCCATAGAGGAAAAGAATTACATTCTAGATAGCATAGGTGAAAAAACCACAACTACAAAGGTTTGTTTACTAATAATATTAATTTGTATCATTGTTGTTTTTATAAAGAATAAATTATTACTATTATTTTGACTACGATCAGAACTACCATTACCACTATTACCACTCGGCCTAGCCAAATGATGCTGAACGATCGGCTCGAGTTGGCTCAGTTGTGGCCGAAAAATATATCAATAAGATTCTAAAAATCCGATCAGCACCAAATTTAATGCAGACAGAGATACATGTAACATGTCAATGTGTGAAAATTTGAAGTAAGTTGGTCCACTAGTTTTTTTTTGGGTTTTTGTTTTTTGCGTTATTCGCCAGGAAGGACACACATACTGACAGACAAACACACTCCCACAACACACACAGAAGTGAGCTATAACAAAACTTTCACCTTTTCGAAAGAGAGGTGATCCTCTTTGCGAGGGGAGTAAACTCTCCTTCGGAGAGGCGAGGGTAAAATTGTATTACTGATTAGGTAATAGGAGATCTCAAAACCAGTCAATATGTCAATTCTCCGATGTCACTTCTGTCCTTGGATAAGAAATGTTAATTTACCCCGTCTTTCGCATGTGACGCAAAGCCAATTCCGTTTTGTAAAATAATAATAGGCCTAATAATATTGCCAAAATTTATATAGCGACAATTCACAGGCGCTGGGCGTTATTATCACTCGTTTCTGAATATTATACAACAGCAAACCAGCACATACTGAAACTTAGTAGAAGATTGTCTCCAAGTGTAATGATTACTTCCTGCATGCATGAATTGTACATATCTGCCAGTTGCATTGCACATGTCACTAAATTGTCTTTAAACAAAGAAAGGGAATAATTCGCTCTAGTCCTTGAGTTGAAATAAATGAAATGAAAGTCGTACAAATGTAGTATCTACATTATGGTAGGTATTATGCCTCAATAACTAAACATACACTTTAAGTAATGTAACTTTACTATATTTAATGCATAAATACATGTTTGATTCGATACTATAATAATGTTTTTGGACTATGGAAGACAATAAAAAATAAATAAAATATTGATAATGAAAATGTAAATTAACCCACAGTCTAGGGAATTATTATTGAGCTTCTCAGAAATAGCAAATATTGCTGTAGTCCATTTAGCAATTCTGATTGGAAAGATGAAATGCAATACATTACGGTAAGCTAGACAAAAATGACTGTGGTACATTAAGATATTTCGTATACATCTATCTTCAACATAAGGAAATCAGTATTTTATATGATACATCAATACAGTCTATAATATCAACCGATAGCGTTTAGATTATATATAAAACACAACCATCTCATGAGAATGATTATGTCAGTTGAATTTATACCGGCTTGGTATTTGTCTTATAATTATTCCCATATCATCTGTTTTTAGATGTTTTTTTATCGACATTGAAGATACGATGAGTTTCTAGTCGACGCAAAAGATACCGTTTACAAACTACACACATTAACTTTAAATTTACAGAATGTACAAAACTCTCTAAAGTTTAGTGCTTTAATATATATATATATATATATATATATATATATATATAATTATTATAAAATCAATGACTACATGCGTTTCAGATAAACTTCATAATGTCCTCTTGTAATGCTGCACGTCCTATCAAAACGTTGGTTCCTATTTAGCACAATATCATATTTAAGATACAGGCCTCGCTCTAATTAAAGACACCTATAATTAAAGACAATCTCAAATTAAAATCACTTGACGTTTTTAGCAGCCCTGAATGATAATTATTGTTCTAACCAGTTTCAAAGTGATTTTTAGTTAGAGGGAAATCTGCTCTTATTCTTACACAAAACACTCAACTAATCATCGCATATATTACTTCTATCTTCGCAGAATGTTTTTTTTTTCTTTAATAAAAAGCAGTATCCCAAATGGCGCCCTGTACATTATACTTTGGGATCTATAAACCAGCTCTTCAGTTTTTTGTTTTTTGTTTTGTTCGTACCATGGTGTCGTCTGAAATTTTACAGAGAACTATATTTTCGTGTTGCTGTAGTAAAATTATCGAAGGTTCCGGGTGTCCGTGAATCTGTTTTTGAACACCTTTAGACTCGCAGCAGTTTGATACCTTGTTGATTTACTGTAATTTACGCAGCGAATTCCCGGTGTATATGGCAAAACTCGCACTAAATCAATTTGAACAGGATTTTCAGTAATTTAGTGGTATGGCCCTAGCCTAAATTTTGAGAGGTTGGCAGGTTTGAATTCATTGGTAATTTTTCATATAACATTGGTTTACTATACTTAAAGGGTTATGCTTGATACGATAATAGTCATTTGCTTTTACTATTCGAGCACTGTTTCTATCATTTGACTATTAGGCCTATTCAAGCAATTACGATACCGTATTGACAAGACTCACTTGACCACGAATACATTGTTGTAACTTCAACAGCCATTAGACTTCAAATTCCTTTTAATACTCCTTACTTGTCTGATGTCACAAGTTGTGGATATCACATATATGGCATGTGATAAACGGAGATCCAGAAGATACACTTAATATATATATATAATTCCTATCATGTTAACTATGTACAAAACCATTATTTTACAAAACATCAGTTATGCTATTACAACATAGGGATCTGCATCTGCAAACTCTACCAGTTTAATTCTTCAGAGGATAAGCTGTAAAGCCCACTACCATTCGACTCCTCATTTTATTTCAACTCACAAACAGTTAATATTTTCCACATTTATTTAAAAGACGGCTATATTTATGGACAAATACCATACAAATTGACTGAATAAAATTTTGAATTAATTATTCCATACACATAAATCTGTACGTACACGATCACAATACCTAAACAAAAGAAATCTATCTGTTAAAAAATAAATAAAATAAAATGGGTCAAAAAAAATGTCATTGAACAAAACCTTGGAACAATCTTTCAAATTATCTGAAGAATACGGTAATTGTAGTTAAGTATTTTCACACATAACTTGCACATTAAGCTTATCGAAAATATGAAACAAATTTAAACTTATATTATGTTAACTGTGGTCATATTTATAAAAATTCACCTAGGAAAATAATACCCTTCCGTCCCCGAAACCTAGACTCAGAAATAACAGGATGGTGTCCGACGAGGGATAGTTTTACCTTTAGGAGGATGATTAAATTATTACTGGATTACTTAGCGAAGGTCCCGTCTTGTCGTTAAATGGACGAGGGTTTGTCATCATATTGATCTCGGTTATTTCCAATGCATCAAAAACTAAAGTTGATCTACGCTTGCGTGCAAGAGTGTGAAAATTTGGGTCTAATTGGATATGGATTACCCAAAAAAGGTTCAGTGGTCCAGGATGGTGATGGTGAAGGCGTCTGTATAGATAACATACGTTCCTGGGTTCGAATTCCGGTTAGGCCAACTCTTTTCACACTCGTTGGTTCCTCTTTTTTAACGTTAAGTAGTTATATATAATTATAGTATATATCAGAAACGGTTTAGAGTTTTTATCTTTATTGTACCATGAGTTACAATTCTATAGCAACTCTCCTTTGAAGATAATTCACTAAAATATCTTTAATAATATTGATTTATATATATATATATACATATATATATATATATATATATATATATATACACAAAAAAAGATTTCAAATGCATAATATGTTGTTTGAGGTTTATTCCAAACGTTTCGCCGGTTAGGGCTTTTTTGTTCATATCTAACCAAGGCATGGAATCAACATTGTATTCATATATATATTTATATATATATATATGTATATATTTTCAGTTCAGCTCAACTCCTTGGTCAAGTTTCTTTACATCAATGCCCGTATACGCTATTATTGTGGCAAATTTTGCAAGAAGCTGGACGTTTTATTTGTTTCTTACCGGTCAGCCATCTTACCTAGAGGAAGTATTTCATTACGAGATATCTAAGGTAAATGCCAATAAATTGATATAAATGTTAAAAGATGCATATCAAATTAGCGACAAACTTACGTCGTCAAATTAATAATAAAATAATCAATTGATTAAGAGAAAGACTGATTGAAAAAAAAATCGACTGAGGATAAGACAGACTAGCGTCTGTCTTGGAGGTTACTTGTCTGACCCTATAAGATTTGTGTCTCGCTAAAGACCTGATGTTGATTGATTTATGATGACTGTCTAGTTTCAAAGAGAATATTATTTGAAGTTGTACAGTACTTTGTATGGAATGTTCTTTACCATTAATATTATTAGAATTCTGCAAGATTTATTAAATCTAATAATATTTATCAGATTTGATAAAGTAACAGTGTTAACCACAAAAGGTATTATATCAATCAGGGATAATCTGAAGTTGACATTTATCTACACACACACACACACACACACACACATATGTATATACATATATATGTATATATATATATATATATATATATGTATATACACATATATATATATATATGTATATAAATATATATACACATACACATAATTTTTTATAATTACTTTAATGGTGCTTCGGTGGCAGTTGAATTTTATTCTTTAGAACACATACGTATATTTAAAATACCACAGAACATTCAACACTCATTGTTTCGTTTAATGTTTTATTTCATTATAAACTCGGTAACATAGGTCGGTATGCTAGCAGCTTTGCCTCACCTTGTCATGGCTATTATTGTTCCTCTCGGCGGACAGTTGGCTGATTTCCTTCGCCGTCGACAACTAATGACAACAACCACAGTTAGGAAACTGTTTAACTGTGGTGGTAAGCATCTATTCATATAATTTATTCACAAGGATAATTATATTATTTTATTTGAAACTAGAATTTAGTTGTTACATCATCTAAATGCACTATTATTTCCAGTATATTTTCAGTTGCATTGGAGGCAATTTTAAAAAATAAAAAGAAAAAAAAATCACGAAATAGGTTATAATATGAATATGTTTTAAAAATTGCACATATCTTTGTTTATTATATAGATTAAGAATATCAATAATGCTATGTCCAATAAGACTAAAAGGTATGAACTAGTTGAAAATAATCAATTAGATACACTAATACATAAAACATCGAATTTATGATATCTTCTATTCATCCTTGTCATACTTAGGATTTGGCGGTGAGGCTCTGTTTTTACTTATTACTGCATATGCACGAGGCGCTAAGATGGCTATTATTTGCATGACCATAGCGGTTGGGTCCAGTGGCTTCGCTATCTCAGGTGAGACTAGCATAGTTGTAATAGACAGCTATCGGTTGATTTCCCGTCGATTTATGATCAGGCGGTACTCGGGAGGGACAACTTGATTTCCTGTTCCACAACAAGATCCATTCGTATACAGCTGTAGTAGAAACCTTTTCGAAGAAAGCCTACCTAAAGTGGCCTAGATTGGCATGAGATCAGTAAACTCTGGCTTTGAACATAGGAAGATTGATTTAGCCTATGTAGAGTACGGTGTATTACGAGAAATCCATGCTAGGTTCTCATAGACCCTATTCTAACCTATGCCTAGACTGGGTATATCAATAATTATTAGTATATCATCAATAATAAATGTAATATAATAATAAAACCGGAAGAAAGAAGAATAGGGAAGAAAATTGGAGCGGCTGAAATATATATCGAAAATTTAAAATAATAATCATTTTGATATTATTGCATTACGTTTTTGTAAAAAAAAAATTGTAGGCACTAATGATGAGAGGTCAATGTGCCGGCAGCCTACACATTTCATAAAGTCGACAGTTACTGGTTAAGGCAATCCAACACTTCGGAGATAATTAATAATATTAAACAAATGCTTTCCTTATTATTATTTTCTAAATTGTAGTTCATGTATGTTGAGAATTACGTGAATTGTGATATAGACTGTATAATGGCATTTTTTTAACGCAAAAATATTATATCTTAATTATTAAATATGAATAAATAACACTTCATTAATGACATTATATATTATACAGATAAGTTGAATTAGAAGCAGTAGATATTTAAATATTATTTAGCTTTATTCAAATTTTTATCACATATCGATATCTCGACATTTATCTACGAGGGCTGATCTGCAGAACCGACTATAACATTTAGTTTAGAGATGGGAATAGTTAAATTATTGTTCCATGCTGTGCATTTCTAAATTATTTATGAATATTTCTAATTAATTATGCAAGATGTGCGTCATTAGAAGATTTTGAATGGAAAATATAATAACTGATGTGGAGAGGGTAGAGGCCAAACTTACTACTACAGATGCAATGAAATGGAAAGTGCTAAATATTTCAAGGACAGATATAGAGGAATATTATATTTACTTAATCTTCTACGAGAAGAAAATTTGAAGCAAAAGCCATCAAACCTTGTCCTTGGAGAATATAGTTTCACTAGGTTTCGTGCAAAAGTATAAGATGTCTGCATATAATATTGGATGTATATCGTATTTCAAACCGTTTGGAATTTAATATGATCTATTTTATGTTTGTCTTATCACAGGTTTCAATGTCAACCACTTGGATATAGCTCCGCGCTATGCTAGTATTCTGATGGGAATCACCAACTCGGCAGGTACACTTGCAGGAATACTCTGCCCACTTATAACTACCAATATCACAGCCGATAAGGTATGCCAAGATAGCATTATGATATACTTCGTAATAAACCTCGTTTAAATTGACAAAATATTAACCCACTTTAGGCTCTATATGTGTTATTGAATTTCTGCTTTCGTATTTATTTCCGTTTGTTAATCTCTTCTCGATATGATTCTACAAAATTATTAACAATGCACTTGTTTTGGTTTTTTTTTTTTTTTTTTTTTTTTTTGAGAAAATATTTTCTTGTCCATTATTAATACGTAGAACCCCATTACTAAAAGATGTAGGTGATCTTCGGCAGTTCATAAACTTGAATGTCCGTTTAAATGGTGCCCTATATTGTTAATTATTGTATGAAATAAAAACTACACAAGGATATTATCGAAATCCACATCTTCTCGAAATTGATATGCTTACTTAAAATCTACTTTGCTATGTATACATTGATCTTTCATAAAAAATGTGTATAAGAGACAGGTTTTTTGAATATGCTTGTTCTTTGCAGACACCCGAGGAATGGGAGAAAGTGTTTCTAATTGCCGCCATCATACACTTTGTTGGCGTTTTATTTTATGGCGTGTTTGCATCTGGAGAGAAACAATCCTGGGCAGACTACCCTAAGGTTGCTGACTTCTCGTCAATAAATGGATCAGATGTGACCAAAGGCTACGGTGCTTTAACTGATATCAGTACCACCACATTCGGGACGTCTATACACAACTCAAATTATGGTGCAGGAACACCAAACGGTGTTTATCCTACAACAAAAGAAGAACCTGTCCAGCCTACAACTAATAATATAGAAGAACACCTTGTGGAATCGTCAGAATCTGATTAAGCCCGATTGAATACGAGAAACATCCGAGCCCGAAATATATTTGTAAACACATTCATGAATTTCATTTTTTCATTTATCCTGATGTATTCGATAAGAAGTCGTTTAGAGTTGGTACTACATTAGTGAGCTTAAAAGGTTCAAAAATGTTATTTCATTAATATTTACAGCGTGTGTATTCAAATATTAACTACACAAGAACACAAATGCAATTAAATCCATATGTGGTAGTCCAGTGCAAGAAGTGGCTCCAGTAGGGAGGGAGCTGTCTCACAATTTGTCGGGAAAATTGAAATATATGTATTTTTTACATATTAGTAGATTCTAAACGATTAAATAAGCCTGTCAAACCGCTAAATGTTCAAGTTTTTGGGGGCTCCGCTCCCTGGACCACTGTCGCAACATTCTAAGCGACCCCAGCCACGCCTACATACGCTCTCGTCAGGGACACCTCACCCCTCCCCCCTTTGGAACATCGGAACCTAACGTCGGGAAAATCTTGTTGTCACCCTTGCTCATTGAATTGCATATACCATCTATATCAAAGGATTCGTGCGAATAAATGAGTTACATATTTATTTATGCAAATTTCAAGATATTGAGCTGAGATAATGTTTAAAACTACCTACAAGCGTTAAAAAGCCTGCAATCATTTTATAGACTTACACATACTTGCAATTCAGAATCGCAAATGCAATGACCAAATTAATTAAAATCATTTACGCAAAACAGGCAGGCATAATTTGCAACTGAAGAACACAATAGACGAAGAATTTCGAAATATATCCAGCTAAGCAGTAACCTTTATCCTTGTCTCATCTTATGAAATGAAATTATATGGTGCTCAAGTGTAGTCGGTCTACACAGATGAAAGTTAACGTTGAGTGTCTTCGTAATTTTTATTTCAACTTTATTTAAAAAAAAAAAAACAATAACCATATTTTAATTATGGAGAATATTAGATTTGTAGTAGATAGAATTTTTTTTGTATCTAGTTTTAAAACTGCATTTTTAAAAATTTGGATTTGCACTGATTAAACAAGAGCTAAATCTAAATTGAAGTACTTTAAACTTAATCTGACTATTAGTATATCATGCCCTGATAGGATTGATATTATTTTTAAGTTAAATAGATTACTGTAACCCAATATTTTGGGGGTTTTTGTGCTTTTTTGTTTTTTTGTTTTGCTAATAACAATAGATTAAACAAAATCAAAGAGTGGTTTAAGCGTCACATGATATACATTGGTATTTTTCGTGTTAAAATGTTTTTTTGCTTTGGGTAAGTGTATACCGGTACTTTCTTTTTATTAAGATATTTTTTACCTCTCTAAAAATTAACTTATTAAATCAGTAAATAAAATAACAGCTGCACTTTGCCGTTATTATTAATATGATTATAAATGTCACATCATCGATACTTTACACGCGGCAGTACGATATTAACATATAAAACAAATAGGGCCTATACTTTGTTATAAAAGTTTAAGTTTACCTCAAAACCAATTAAATTATTGTCAGGGATAATTTTTTTTATCGAAAACTTCGTCTCCCATAGGATGGTAAATTAGTAGCTAGCATTACCAGTAAGTAATGCAGAAAAACGTATTTGCATATAATTAGCATAACATTAGAAATATATTTTGGGAAAAGCTTCATTGTAACATGTTCTTCTATTCCCGTAGGTTGAATTAGGCTTATTATCGCTATTATTTAAAGTTACCAGTTGTCCGTCTATGACAAAAAATATGAAATATGAACAGCAAATACTCATGTGATGTACATTATTAAAGCACATGTGATATGATATGTATCAGTTTTTTAACGTAAATATATAAAACAAAAATAGATTTATGCATCCGTAATGGCATTTTTAAGAAGAGTTCTCCTCTCAAATTCCCCGTAGCCATTAAATTATTATTTTATTAATTTCATAAATAATTCAGGAGATATAATATTACATGGATTATATAAAATATAATCATTTTGCACCCTTCCTCTGTTTTAGTAAGGTATAATTGTAAGGGTCGTGTGCAGTGGCAGATTTGTAGGCAAAACGTTATTGCAAAATTTCTGATTTCACGTATTATATGGTTAATAATCAATGAACATGACCAAAAACTTTAATAACGAAAGGTACCGTAATTGATACAATTTTATTTTAGTTATGTAGGTCGGGAATTATGCATTATGGGCAGATTTTTAATTAAGTGTATCATTAGATTGGTACGCACTCTAAATGCAATGTACTGATGCACATGGAACTTAGGAAAAAGCCAACGTACAAGTTGAACTTCTACGTGTATGAACAGCAATTACGTTATGTATAGAAAATAATACAATATTTAAACTATACAAAAAGAACAAAGAATATTTATTATATAATTATAGTATAACATGTACAAAAGCATATAATTGTTAGACATGAGTTGATGATTTAATTAGTGTTTGAGGTTTAAAACAAACGAAGTTTTATAAATCACAACGTACAGGCAAACGTGACACTACAACACTGCAGACTTGACTCCGCCAATTATCAAACAACTGTTTCCTACTTTGTGATGAGCAGGACATAATAACCGACCGATTCTGCGTGCCATGAAACGTAGGAGAGTCAAAGCTAATTTACATACGACTCTTACGTCGTACGTTGTGATTTTTAAAACTCCTTAATATAAGAAGTTGTGAGACTGTATTTCTATCTGTAGATGTATGTTAGATGTAAGAGCAATAAAGAAAAAGCACTGTAAATAATCACATGTTATTGGTGTTCTTGACATTTACTGGAGTTTATCAAAAAAGTGATGATTCATTTATTTATTCTCGTTGATTATTCATTATGCGGCCCGATATACCAATAGTTCGTATAGTAAAACCCGTTAAAGTGACAGGTAGAAATATACAAAGACTTGCCAAATGTTTTTACTGATACTGCTGCAATTAGGCTACTACTACAGTACTAACACTGCTGCTCATTAACACTGTCGTTGTTGTTCTTGTCGTTGTTGATGCTGCTGATGCTGCTGCTCTTATGAGAAAGTCACGGCCCCCATTATCTTTAGGCTTAAAATCTTTCAGGGACAATTGGTCAATATATATCTATACTGACGGCATTATACTTAAAAAGAAGTCACCGCCGTTATTAAGATGTATCGAATGGATTGGATTTATTCGGTGTAATTACCAAGGATAGCTGACGAAAGTCTAGAAGAAAACTTCTTCTAGTGGGGTCCTTCTGGTAGTGATTGGACTGTATACACGGAGACAATCCCCTACTCTTTTCCAAACAGTATCCTGCGTTCTTTAACGTGCACCTGAGCCATGAATGCACATGGTATACATACGGCTTAAACGTCTCATCTGAAAGACGTGCGCTATTGTAACTTGTATTTCAGCCCTCCAGCCGAAACACAAGGAGAGGCAGAGACGGGAATTTAACCGGGGACCTCTACGGTTAAGCGCACATACATGTGGCTACCACCAGATTAGCCGACTGAGCTAAGCTGCTCTCTATGCTCAGAAAACAACTGTATGTAATGTAATGTAGTTGAATTCATATACCGAAGTCTCAAAGTACTCGAGAAGCGGACTAGCTCTCATACAGATAAGTTTTACTTCTCCCCTAGGGCCTCTACTTACCTACCCGTTAAACCGGTATTGTACCGGCTACTCGCGTTTGTCCTGGGACTGAATGCCCGTCCAATACACAAGGGTAAGACCATACTCCAGTGGCAGATTTAGAGGGGGCGTAAAAAATAATTTTTGTAGATTGCTTATCAGAAGTTACCAAGCTAAATAGTAAAAATCAATCAATAACATCTAATTAATAAATCTGGTGCTAGAGGTTTGAGGGAGATTACCCCATTGTAGATACCAAGGGTTCTTCCCTGAGACTCACTCAGTTCTCACATTCACGCCCCCTATTTCTTGCGGTTCTAGATCCGTCCCTGATACCTGTCTCGAAAGATGTACACTGATTTCTTTTACGTGCACAAAAGCCAAATTGTATACACATGGGTCTAAGTTTTATAGTCCTTATCCAAGAAGATTTGTTGTTGTTCGTGCAATGTTTAAAAACAACTCCATAAACAAATGATGAAAAAAGCTGAAAATGTGAAAAATGTGTATAAATAATGAATTGTGCAGAGTCATGCAGTATAACGGGAATATTCCTTCTAGAGTGGGGATGGTGTTGCACATTGTGCATGATTTCCTATGGTTCAAATGAACAAATCTCCATTGAATTGGCACTCTACAAATTTATAGGATTTAGTTATTGAATTTTTAAAAAGTGATTCATTAAAACACAAACCTAAAACAAAGTCAAAATAAACTGACAAATTGAGAGACACTAGCAATTTTCTCATTAAATAATTATGAAATATAAAATATGACATAAAATAAAAGTCTTTCCATATGGATCCAACACACTTTTTTGCCGACCCTCTTAAAATCGCCCAGTGAAATTCTTTGGCTCCGCAGCAGCATTAACAGCCCCCATGATGCCCCTAAAGTTTCATTGTGGGCAAATGAATATTAGCTCTAGACTACATTTTGTGCCTATGTATTGATGGTGTCACTGAGTTTACAGGAAATCGGCTGATTGATTCTAACTGGCACCCATTGTGAATTAAAATCAGGGTCACCTTGACCATTTTTCTTGGACCAAGGTTTCTCTGCTGATTTAGCATCGTTAGGGTATAAATAAAAGATTGAGCGGGGGAACCTCCAGAAAAAGGGCGGAACATATCTTTTGGCGGCCATTTTCAAATTGTCCGCCAAAATTCAGATATTGGCTCATAACTCTACTTATATCAAATGAAAAAGAGCAAATCTGTTTATTACGGTCACTGAAGCCATTGAGACAGGTTTCAAAAACCTAAAATGGCAGCCATATTGAAATTCAAGATGGCCGCCTTTTGAATATTTATAATTCTACATCTCCTCTATGGATAATGGTAAATTTGGATCTAATCATATGTTTTTGGGCTCTCTGAATACAATAAACATAGTTTCAAATAGTTAGGATGACAGCCATTTTGAAATTCAAGATGGCCACCATAAAAATCCTCAAAAATTTAATATTTTGTAATTTCACTTCTCTTTGATGAAAAATGCTAAATTTGGTGTTTAAACATATCTTATTGGGCTCTCTGACTCATTAACATGAGTTATCCCATTTAAAGATATAACTTCAGGAAGAGAATAACATTTTGTGTTAATTATATGGGATCTTTAATTTAAAAAGGATGTCGGGGGTACTAGTCCCCTGCCAGGGTTATAATTCCCCTGTCGGAGGTACCACTCCATGTCGGGGAAGAGCTGGAGCACCACTCTAACCCATACGATCGCAATAGCATTCAACTCCTCGCACATACGGTAGCACTGCTCGCACTAAACAGTTTTTAATCCTAAAATGATGACAGCTTTGTAGGCCTTACATAAGGCATGCTTTAATTGTACTTTCTGCGCTCGAGATGTGATTTTTCCCCGCGATGTCCCGCGACGACCTTGCTGGCAATTCCCAGGAATTCAGGAGGATCCAGAGGTCCCCGACGGGGCGTCCTGTGCCCACCTGGACCCCCGCTAGCGCCGCCCTTGCCTTAGACCAGTTTATGAACCAGTCAGTTACAAACAGTGGAAAAGTGACATTTAGACCCTACAAACAAAACATAAAACCACAGACAGAAATCTCATCCAGAATTTTAGGTATGTCTTTAATTAAGCTGTCAAACAATGAATATTTGCATACAAAGTGTATTGGCAATCCCCGACGTAGGGGATATACTGTAGCCCCAGCTCCCCCCCCCCTCTGGCGCCACCCCTGCCATTTACAATATAAACTCACTGTCTTCATTTCACCAAAACTTTAATTATGGGAATCCAAAAAATAAATAGTAAACAATCTTTTAAAATTGTGTTTACTGTATGTTTTTGTTTAAAATTTATAAATAAATAATATACTTTAGAGCTTTCAGCAAAAAGTTGAAGATCAATTGAAGAAACGCAATGCTAGTAGCAGCATTTCGAATGAGCACTATACGTGTAACTACACTATACAAGTATTTCAGGCTCTTGATTGGAAAAAGTAGATACTAAAAAACACAACCAATCCTAGACTATTCAGACTAAGGCTCGGTCGGGTCTGCGCAACAAAAACATTTAAAATCTCACACTGAATGCAAATCCGATATTGCGCCAAAAGAGAAAGTTGTCTCGACAGGGTAATAATTATATCGACAAACCTCTGCTAGAAAAACAAGATATGTACAGATTCTGAGACTTAATAATAAAAAACAACTAATGGTCCGATGACACAACTCGGTGTCGGGAAGGCTCCGCTGCACTGGATTTTTTACAATCTCTAAAAAACTTTGGATTGATTAGACTATTAGTCAGTTGCGTATCAAGGAATGCGGAGGCCAGGAATGGTGGGTGGGGGGATCCAGTGAGGGGATTTCACAGATAGAGGGTCCACCCACCTCAGCCTCACCATGCATTTGATTATAATTTAATTTATTTATTTATTGTCCAATTTTGTTTATAAGTTTGAGGAGGGCAGAGGGGCGGCCATGTCCCCCTCCCTCAACCTTGAATCCCCCACTGAGTTCAATATAATCTTAAGCTTCATCAGACATGCTGATCTGCAATTAAAAAAAAAAAAAAACACAACATACTATTAACCACAATTCAGAATTGTTCCAACATATTCGTCCAGAGGAGAGTAGAACGCCAAATTGAACTGGTAATTATGGCATTACAATAGCACCAGACATCCATTAGGTCTACTTTCCAATGAACAGTACAACTTACCAGTTAACCAGTAACCAGTTTTCATTTCTCACCGACCTTGTCAAATATATTCAAGAGCGTCCACAAGTTCGGAAATACTTGATTTGATATTTGCAGATTCCCGATCAACATTTTTGTAATTGTTTAATAATATGAAAACTGATTAAAATGGTAGGATCTCCAATTGTTAGTGGTATTCCAAATCATGTAAAGCCGGAGCCACTTTGTTCGCTTTTTTCAAACACCTCTGTGTTCCTTATGGATATGGTTTGAACTATTGTAGCCAAATCAGAGGAAGTCTGAAGCTCCCGCTACCAAACCTCCGAGAAATTTTCGCTCCCTGAAGGTATCAGGCTGCTCATTGACGACTTATTCAATATCTGCATTTATTGATAACATGTACTTTGTAATGTTATTTATCTGCATATCTTGTGTGTATGATACTTTGATGTTTAAGTTTTCAAGTAAAACTTGTTTCTATTCCATTTTAATTATTTGAATTTATAATGTGTAAGCATAATGGACAGCGATTAATTTTTATTTTGTTTGTAAATAAATGTTATTTTAAAATGACATTAAACTTGATGGATTCAAAGTGTCTAATACATTGTTTCAGCCTTAAGATGACTTAGTATTGACAGACAGACTATGTTGTCACATGTTTATTTATGACACTCTAACATAAATCCAAGAAATAAAGTGGTTAGGGTTACAGAGTTTGTATGACTTGCTCAGGTAGTGAGGAACAAGCGTTGAAACTTGGGTCTAGAAATCAAAAGTAAAAGCACAGAGAAACGACTGAAGTGGACCAATGTTGCGTTCGAAATTGTAGTACAAAATTTAAAATATTTATTCAGGATACACTATATTTAAATTTAGCTGTGTGTGCGTGAAAGCAACCAATCTTTGTAGAGTACCTGCTTCACTACAATCGTTCATATTTTTATACAATGAGTGGGGTGAATCCAATTTGAATGTTGGTATTATCACCACAGATGTAGTTAATTCAGTGACTTTTGGTTACACTACATTATCTGCACATGAAAAAAGGACTGAATTCATGAATATTTTTTGGTTCTTAGAAACCGACGGCTAATCAAATGAAAAGGGATGTTACTTTAACAGAATATCAAATAGTATTTTACTTCCGATTTATCCATTATATTAATTGCCTTTGTCATCGAATTTCCTAAGAAATTGTACTTTAATTTATTAGGATTAAATACTACAGGAATCTCTGGATCATTTCAATAATTTTACGGATACAAAACAACATTTTCGTGACTTAAGGCCTTAACTCCCATGGTTTTTGACCCCAAATTCTACTAACAGACTAACGACAGATTAAATACTGGGTCTTTTTAATCTTTATATTGACTGTTACAAAACCTACATTGGCTCACAACACCCAAATCGTAAATGCTAATATCAATATGAACATGATGTAAAGAGTGAATACCAAATATCGGATTTGTTTCAGGCGAATATTTATTATGTCAGTAAAGGGGCAACACATGAATATTCTTAAACAAACTTGTATTGCTACGGGCAAGAACACCAATTGACATTTATAAAGTTACATTTGTATTCTATCATTACTAATAGTGTATAAATATTACAACCCAATACAAAAAAAGCACTTTTAATCCATAAAAATGAGCATATAAGAGGAATTGTAAAAGAATTAAGAAAAAGATTGGGAAATACATTTATTAAAAACAGGAACTATTTCAAAAATTCATATAATAGTACAGAATACACTGGACCTACAAAAAGACGTCATCACACAATGGATGCTTTATTTTGACCTTTATACCAGGTTTTGCTTGGTAAAAACACGCAATTTAAAAAACTTAAACCAAATAATTTTCCCCTAAATACATGCAAACTGTTTCCCCACAAGATAAATGGTGCACATGTGTAGGAAATTTACATGTTAAACTGGATTATCAGTTTCATTGGCATAAAATACATCTGGAAAAAGTTTGATGAAATCATTTTGTAATAATGAAAGAATAAGACACAACTTTCTAGCTAATGATTGCTGAGTTGTAATTTTATTTGAAAGATTGAGTTTCAATTAATGGTCACTGCTTTTTTTTTTATTCATCTCAGTGTAGGATTGAGTTAATTTCCCCCCATTCTAGTTAATAGCTGAACCTTCATCAGCTTCATTCGTATTTTCTTTATCAGTGTTTCTGGATTCAGTAACAGCTGACCCTTCATCAGTTTCATTTGTATTTTCTTTATCTGTGTTTTTGGATTCGGTAATTTCTGCATCAACTTCCTCCTCAACATCTTTTCTTGCATCTTCGCCAGCCTTCTTGAACATCTCTTTTGCTCGTTTGTCTTCTTTTATTCTTCTTCTCTCTTCAGCCTAGAATTAAGAAAAGAATTTATCATATTATTAATTAACACTGTAAATATATATTTTTAATAATTTTGGAAATATGGAAAGGTGGAGCTTGTAAAATACACTAGGCTGCATTTCAATCAGTAAATGCACACACTGTCATCTTATTCACTAATGATTCTGTATTGAGATATGTTGGTTTTACACTGGCTGGACATATTTTCTCCATTTAGTAGGCATTGCATCCCGGAAAAGATTCCAACGACTTAACTGGCGCCAATAGGAGAACATTATACACGGATTCCGAGTAAGTGAAAATGGTCCAGTTCCCTACTGTTGGCAAATATTGTTTAATTCATCATTCAAATGACACTTCAATGTACACTCTTCCTTCTCTTATTTTTTATCTGCCACGATCTCTAATGAATGGCAGGATATAAGTATAATATGCTGTGAAAACTGAACTAGCCACATTTAGACTCCAATGCTGTATCTGATTCTAAAATCACTAAAATAACATAAAGTGAAGAATAATATAAAAACAAAATCTAAAAATGTATCAACCAGAATTAATGCTACTGTAGTAGAGTAAAAAAAATAATAATTTTAAATTCAAATAATATTGAATATACAAATACATAAATTGAAAACTTGTCTTTTACAATCCTACCAACTACATCAGCTCCATTAAATCATATTATGTATGTCTAAAATTACAATTGTAATTTAATGACTGTCAATTGTGTCAGCCTGCTTGTTCAACGAACTAAGGCAGGACAGTATCTTAATCAATACCTTAGCATCTTGGTCTGCAAACTTGGCAAACATGTTCCCGTAGGTTTTCTTCTCCCTTAATCGGTATTGTTTGATTTTATGTTCGCATATCGTTAATTGATTTTTTGCTGCCTTGTTAGTAGGTTCTAATTCCAGAACCTTTTCCAAGTCTTTTTTGGCTACCTCATTGTTGTTCATTCCCATTTGTGCTTGAGCCCTTCGGAAATAAGCCTTAACAGAAGCTACATCCAATTCCAAAGCCTGAAATAGAATTTTAATAACTATTTTTAGGTTGGTACTTTACAGTGGGAGTAGCTTAGCTCTGTTAGCTAAACTGGTGGTAACCCTTGTGTGTGTGCTGTGCTTTGGAAATCTTCTCAGATCGTTGGTCTCTGGTTTAACTCCAATTTCTGCTCTCCTTATATTTCATTTGGAGGACAGGTTTGTAGCTGTAGAAAACTAAGGGTCTGATGATAGACACTTTAAGGGTGGGTAGGTGATAACATTAATAAACTGTAAATAATAAGAGTGGATTTTAAGGATGGAAAAGTGGGTTAATAAAGGTGGGTGAAGGGCCATGAAATTAGCTTTAGACTGGGTGGAAAACTTCGAGGCCGGTTGGCCCGCCCACCATAACTACACACCTGGAAGGACTGAGATAGAGGTTACGATAGCTAACTGTCTTTTCGATGGTATGTTTGCGCCATTAGTCCTATGTGCAAAAATGGCACAGAATGGGTAAAAAGAAGGGTAAAATTATTGAAATTCCAAGATACCTTTTCACAATTTTTCAAAGCTTGAAGATACTCTTCAGTTTTAAGATACGCCATTGCCAGATTCAGGAAGCCAGCTAGCTTCACGGAATTCCACTTTTCTTTTTTCTCCAAGTCATCATCAAGATCACTAGCATACTCGAGCAGAGATGTAATCCGTGTCCAGTTCTTAATAGCATCTTGATATGCACCAGACTGTCAAATGAGGGCAGTATTCATTTATTTTATTTGTTTAAGCTCTGTCCACACTATCAAACTTCATTGACAAAAAAAAACTTGTGTATGTCCATATATAGTCATGATGTGCCTATATGGTCAAGATGTGATGTCATCATGACCATATTTAGGCATCTAAGTAACATACTTTTGTCAAATAAAATTTGATAGTCTGGACAAGGCTAAAGGTCATTCACATATAAGTTCTCTTCACACTATCAAATTTCATTGACAAGGAAATGTTGTATGCCCATATATAGTCATGATGTGCCTATATGGTCAAGATGTGATGTCATCATGACCATATTTAGGTATATGAACCATGTTTTTGTGAAATAAAATTTGATAGTCTGGACAGGGCTTAGGATCATTCACATAAAGGTTGTAGCAATCCATATAATAACATAAAAATTAATAGTTGATATTTAAAACAGTTAATATATAAAAGCAATTTATATATATACATATATAAAAAAATCATAATCATGAGGAAAGAATATACATAAAATATATGAGCACACATATGAAAATTGTATATTTTTTTTATTAAGTACAAAAAAAAAATATGCACACTTGTGACACCACAGATGAAATTGTTTGAGTTTAAAGCAATTTTCTGCAAACCATTGGTCACAACCCCCCGCGGCTGCCTAAGGCAAAACAACGACTAACTGACATTTTTGTCGATTTTGAGATAATATCATTTTGGAGCATATTAATCACTTTGAATTACTTGCGAAAATTTCAGGTCTCAACAATGAGTTGTTTCAGAGATAGCACACTTAACTTTAAGCACAAAACTTAAAACCAAGTGATTTTCCATTGTATCAATGTAACTGCAAGATACATTGTTTTGTCTCAGAATGATATTCAATAATTGGCAGATCAAAATCAACTGGTTGATGGTGTTATACATTTCAACAATATTAAAAATAGCGTATGCACAATTAGCCAGATAATGCATGATTGCCTCAGACGTGATATATTAAAAAAATAAGTGACGATTCTCAATGTTTCTGAGGAAAAACAACGTATCTATCAATACCGTTAATACTTTTGCAATGCAGTACACCAACGCTTGTAATTTTACATACATCATGTCAGTATCATTATGTTGGCGTTAGTATACATACATAAAAACATATGTCATTTTGTAATAATATTCCGTGTTAAACTTGACAATATAATGCAAGATTTAATTAATAATTAAAATTTAATGACATATTTAGGTTAAAAAAAATATCAGTAAAATAAACAGAACACATGTAGCATGTAGACAGACTATGTATCAGTTCATAAGGGGTCAGTGAATCGCAACTCACTTCTCCTCCTGCGTAATACTGGCTTGAATCATATATGAAGGATAAACATACTTGTAATAATGAGGATAGCATACACATAAATATGGGGGCAGCATTTACACATACTTATGAATTGAATGAAGTCAGCTGTCATATCATGTTCTATAATTTTCCAGTGTTGGAGGCTATGTGTATTATTTGATGGTCATCCTATATATGTTTACTCACAAAGACCATCACATTTGAAAGAATATTATTTGGCCATGAAACCACGACTCAGAACTACTAGGATGGTGTCCAGTGGGGTATAGTTTTTACCTTGTATAGTAGTTTAAGTCATTAAAATCACAATCTCAATTTTCAAGCCCTGAAACCTTGATTCAGAATATCGGGATGGTGTATGGCAGGGGATAATTTATTACCTGATTTTGTTACATTTTGACCTATAATTATTTCTATTATTTATATATGAGCAGACCCCTGCAATTTTATTTCTATGTAAAGTTTTTTACAAATGACAATAAAATATACTGAATACTGAAAGTAAATTTTGTACAGTATTGCCATTATATGTAGAGGCAATGTTGTACAGAGCTTTTTGTGATACAACACTTAACAAATGAATGACAGACTAAGACAGGTTTAGACAGCATCACAAACTGGCCGAGGCAATTCTACAAAGGGTGACCCAGCTTCATGCAAGTGAGTAGGCTTTGTCAGCCAATGCAGTATGAGTCAGCCTAAATGCCATTGCTACACATGTCAAAAAATTGAAAGGTTTCTTGTTACTTCATTTAATTTTATTTCAATCCAACTAAATAAAAAAAGATAGTCAGATGTCATTAAGTTTACAAAAATGTATTCAAACTTTAAAATAAACATAGCTATAGTAAGGTAAGAGAAATTCCTTAAAATTGATTCATCTACCAGAATAAAAAAAAATATATTAAAAGATCATTTGTTTAAATGTATTTCAAGGTGTTTTTAAATAATTTTGATTGTGTATGTATATCCAGCTTTGCTGTCAATGCAAAAGCAGAAGATAACCTCCTTTTCAAATCTTACAATTGGATCAATTGCTAAAATGTAGACCTAATATGTCATAGATTGTATTTAGGATATCTGGATATATATATTAAAATTATTGATTCATACCGTATTACAGTATACTGAGCCATCCTTGTCTTGTATCAGTTACATTTATGATTGATATTGAACTGCCAGATGAATAATACTTATGAAACTTGGCCTAATACATCATACGACACTGTGATCCATTAAAATTATGGCAGCATAACACATGAATTGCGGGAGGGCAGTATACCAAAGAAATAAATGAGGCAGTATATCAAATCAAAATTAAATCAATTCAACTTTATTGTCCACAAAACTGAAAGTTCATCTTCTGGGTGAAGAGCATTGTTCACATAATACTAATAAATACATTTTTATACTTTATAAACATGACATACATAACATTTTAAAAAATACTGACACAATACTGATATACAGTATTAATACACAAGAGTAACATGATTAATTACTTTTCAAAAGAGGAACTGTTCATTCATTTGGGCAAGAATAAAAACACTCATCTTTTACTGTGAATGTGGTTGTATACTATTACAGAGTATGGAACAAATCAACTTTTAAAGTGGTTGGTTTTGACAACTGTATTAAAATGTGAGGAGATAAATTGGATGGTTAAATAAAATAAGGGTAGTTGGTAAAATCCAGATGTATCTATGGCAAAGAGCACAATGTGAATAACCAAACAATTATTTAACTTTATTACCTTGAATTTGGTTGTTCCCCTGGCTTTAGCTTTTATTGCAGCTTCAATTTTCTGATCTGTGTCCATTTCCCATGTTTCCATACCCTGAAGTTAAAAAAACAAATTCCACAAATATTTCTTTAAAAAAAAAACAAATAACAATAATAACCATTTAAGATAATTAATTTAAATAATAATTTAAATAATACTGTCATAATATAGTAATAATATTAACACTTATGATTAAAGTTATGGCGTAGTTGGTACTTAAATTCAGTGTGCAGAAAACCAGATGTTAGCCCAGTAAGTTGAAAGATTTAAAATTCAAGTTCATTTTCTCCAGTAAGGTAATTCTTGTTGCAATAACCAAGACTAGGGTGGACCTAAACACTAGGAGGATCTATTTTTCTCAAGTCATTGGTCCATTTTTTATATGAGATAATATTTGGTCGAATCAGTATAGGCAGCACCTGTGAATTTGGCGGCAACAGTGGTGGTGGCGGTCATGGCAGCAGTAGTGAGAGTATTGTTGCTAAGGTACCACAAAACAACAGTATAAAACAAACACAAATGTGTGCGTTTATCTGGGACAACATGTGCGTCTGTATGACACATGCACATTCCCTGATCTGATTGGTCAGTTTTTTTAAGTTTGATTGACACAATGTAAAGGTCTACTGTCTGCACAATCAATCCTACACCTACTCATATGGCGACTGTCTATACGACTTTGGTATGGTTTAAGTACATTAATCGGAGCAGAAATGTAACCATAAGTTGAATCTGAAAGAAGTCTCCTCATTTAATAGCAAAAAAAAAACACAAAAAAAACTAACCTTTTCAAAATCATTAAGCGTGACTGTGTATGTTACGTTCGCATCACCTGGGATTCCTAAATCCTGGTTACCTGTCTCTCTAAAAGCATACTTAGGCTTCAGATCAACTTTGACCTTCTCTCCTTTATGCATGTTTTTTATTGCCATAATGACACCATCAACAATTCCATGTTCGTTGCCTAATGATTATAAAAATAATAATAATGAAAATACAAATATTAATCATTACTACATCTGTAGTTATATATGTAATAACTATACGTTTTTACTACCATGCTCATCCTAATACTGATGATTTAGTACAGTGTCAGTAGTACTGTATGTAACAATATTCATAATATTACGATGTTAGTTTTATTACGATGCGAGTCTACTAGTAATATTCATAATATATTATCAGTGGAGGATTCAAGAAAATCTAAAAAAAAAATTGAGAAAAAAAAGAAAATTCTACTTAAATTTTGAGTCTAATAGTGCATTTCCAGCCATCTAGAGGTACCATAATCATAAATTTTTCTACCTTAGCCCAAACCATGGTGGGGCTTCGGTTGCATAGACCCGCCATCTGTGAAAGTCCCTCTCTGGGCCCCCTCTATTTCATATTCCTGGATTCACCACTGATTATTGATAATGATATATTAATGATGCAAATAGTAATTATAAAGAAGTTGATTATATAACATCACTATGTCATCAAGATCATTGCACTTATTACTATCCCGGTAATTGGATATAAACAGTACGACCACCTTCATTCCCAGAGGGAGTATTCCTGGTCATGCAGCTGTCAATTCGGCACAGAAACCAAAACATCCAATATTAGAGCATCCTTATCACACCAGCTAGCTGTATGATATTCTTATGGATACATGCATGTGGCCTAGAAATGTAAATGTGCTTGTTGGCAAGAAAAACATTCTGATTAGTTCCTTGGTGAATTTGAGGCTCAGTGCAGCGCCTTCTGTACCCTGGTAAGTACACTGTGAGACGTGAACAGTTTTTTGTTGCTACACAAAATATCGATTTCAAATTAACCTAAACCTAATGTCTACATTTTAGTACACAATTTGTTTAATTTCTAGCTCACTAACAGTACTATTCAGTGGGCAGAGAAAATAACTTGATTTTGTACTAGCTGCAACATGATTGATGACTGGGGTCAGAATACAAATCACCTCACAGACTTTGCCATTATGAGCTAACATTATATAAAAAGAGTAAATGAAAAATAATTGATAATACACAATATCAGTTTGAAAACTGAGGTTCTTGAGGTAGGGTTTATGGGTAGATTCCTGTTGGGAACACCAGGAATAGGGACCATTGTGCTCCAGTATCCTGGACAGTATTAGATCAATTTCAATATTTTTTAAAAGGTAGTAAATGAAATTAATGCACATATCTATCTTTCATTCTTAAAATTCTAACTTTTAAATCTAAAAAAAAAGAACCTGTAGATTTCATACAGGTTATTTAAGAAGATAAATGCAAATTTAATTGGATTCATACTGAGGTCTAGTCAAATTTGTATTTAACATCTTTTACCCGTTTAAGACAAAATTTTACACTAGATGCCTGCTACTGATGATATAGTGTTATCAAACTGATGATATAGTGTTACCACACTGATGATGCAGTCTTATCACACTGATGTGATCACAATGATGATGTAATGTTCACACATAGTGTTATTGCACTGATGATGTAGTGTTAACACAATGATCTACTGTTATAACACTGATGATTTGTTTTATCAAACTGATGATGTGTTATCACACTGATGATGTAATGTTATGAGCCTGATGATGTAGTGTTATCACACTGATGATGTTGTTTTATCACAGTGATGGTGCGTTATCACACTGATGATGTGTTACCAAACTGATGATTTAGTGTATCCACTGATGGTGTAGTATTATCACATTGACAATGTAGTGTTATCACACTGATGATGTGTTATTACATTGAATGTTTTTAAACCATTTAATTAGATGTTTGCTGTATATGTTGTTATACAAATAAATGTTTATGAGATCAATGGGAAGAATGAAAATATTTTTTCCATTGCACAAATAAAAAATATTCATTATTTGTTTTAATAACACCTAAAATAGATCATTGTCATTTGATATTTTATTTTCTTTTAACCAATGAAAAGATGTATAGATTGAAGCTTGCAATGGAGCAAAATGAATGGAACAAAAATGCATGGATGGAACTTAATTTTTATGAGTGAAGAATGTGATATAAAATCCACCAATCAAATGACAAGGATCGATTTAGGTGTGTTATAAATTTAAATATTATTCTGAATGATGTAATAAATGATGATAGCTTACCATCTTCCATAGTGAAATTTACATCTCTCTCATCAAACACCTTTCCATTATATTCACCAACCACATGAACTAAAAAAATGTGGGAGGAATCTCTGTGTTAAAAACAAGATTGAGTGAGTTTGTTTTGGCTTAAATAACTCAACCATTTTGGTGACAGCATTTGGTTATGTAACAGTATCTTGCTCTCATTACTGTTTGAGTACAGTAGCTGTTAAGTGAGTTAAAAATATCTTGCATATTTAAACACTTCTGACAATTAAGTGGGTAATAGAGTATACTCCACTCATATTATAAAGGATACACCGTTGTTGAGTAGGTTATAGTGTCTTGCACTAATTGAACGTTTAAGTACATACATCAAGTGCATTCTCACTATTCGAACAGCTCAGGAAATTGCTGGGGTACATTATTTCACTCATACATAATTAAGGCAATAGTTAAAATTGTTTTCTTGCTTTAAAAAGCAAGGATAAAATGGGAAATTTCAGTCCTGTAATCTGGATTCCTTAAGGAGAATTAAGACACATTTAGGGGGCCTAAAGCCAGGTTCCCACCACCCTGAATCTGCCACTGTATTTCTATTTATATAACCATATGACTTATATTTACAATATTCCCTTGATTATCATAAATATATAATTAGAAGTGTGTCATCAATTCTCAATCTTGTTAATAACTATCTAGTGTTTACAACTGCAACAATTTTAAGTGTTTGTACCATATCCTTGGCACAGAAAGATAACATTAACAACTGACTTCAAAAAATAAATCTAAATGAAAATATAAATACATATTAAAAATGTATGTATGTTCAGCCAAACATACATTGAACTAATTAACAAGGATATAACACTATAAATAATAATATACCTTGCACACTTGAGCCATCTATTGGTGTTTCTTCGCCTTCTCCTTCTTGTTGTATTCGCATAATGACACCACCATCTTTATCTTCCGTCAAATCTTCACCTTTCCAATCAAAGAGTTCAACTTCGAAGACAAGAGTTGCGTCTGGAGGAATCTTTCCTTTCCCTAAATTAGAAATGTTATAGTGAATAGTTTCTGAAGCTTTAGAACAACACATAGTATTATTTGTAATGATAAATCTTAACAGTTGAAAAATTACAAATTTTGAATGACTGATTGATTACTTTCAAAATGAAGAATTGGACAATGCATTAACAATTCAACAAAATATTAAATCAGGGGTCGTGGCTGCTTGCAGGCTTTTCTGGTCCATAAGTGCATGTTATCTGGCCCATAGAACAAGCCCAAAATCGTTACAGTTAAAGCTACTAAAGTAGGGTTATTTGCACCATTTCAAACTACATAGTATTTTTATTGTGAGGAAGAGACCACAATCCCTCTAGTCCTGTGCTCACTTTGCAACCTTGCATGATCACTGGACCTTTAAAATTTGTTAATCTTCAAAATTTTACCCTGTTATATAATATAGTTGAGAACCCCTGCATTATACAGTACATTCATATAATGGTAAAATGCATATCTATACATGCAGTGTAAAAAATTATATTAATCCCTTGAATGTAATGATACAAAGCCTTCTTTATTAACATCACACCACCAAAAACTAAAGAATGGATCACCAAAAAATTTAGTGGAATGGTACATATCTAAGAGAAGATGCGGACAGAAAAGTTTAGAGGACAATGTCAAGGTCACGGAAGTTTTATTTTTACATATGAGCTAAAAAAAATAATGAAATCACTCATTATGCACAGCCATGTAATGTTCAGTATGCAGAGACATGGCGAAAAATAATGGAACCTCCATTATACACGGCCTACATATTGTTCAGTATTCAGGCACAGGGTGGAGGTATACACTCTATGATGTGACTGCTCTAGTGACTTATGAAATAGTTCCGTACCTTTTCGGCCATATGCATACTCTGGCTTACAGATCAGCTGGCATACTTCACCCCTTCTCATGGTTGCAACTCCTAAATCCCAAGCCTTTATCACTTGCCCTGAAGATATATAAAACCATCAGTCTTTATGAATGAAAAATGATATTTTAAGTGCTGAAAACCATCCCAATGATGATACTTGAAAATACCTTAGAGGCACTGCTTATATACTTTATTGAGGACTTAAATCTTCAAATAAGAGATAATATTAGGTATTAAGTAACTTGCAGTAAAATGTACACAGTTTGATGTGTGAGCAATTAAAAAAATGCTGACTGACAATTCAGCTGATATTGTATTACTAGTTTAATTATCATCAGTATTGTTGTTAAACTTTCATTTACGCAAGAACCAAAATAACATTGGACGTTTTGATCGATCACAATCAGCTATCTTATTTTGGTTTATGCATAAATGAAAGTTTAACAACAATACATTATAGGAACCAAATGAATTTTTTCAATGATCATCAGTATTGTCTTGCAATGACTAAATGTTTTAAATTTCAATTTTTTTTTTAAATGAAAAGATAAGGAAACATAAGAAAAAAAGGAAAGAAAATGTCAAATGAGAAAGAACAAGGAAAGAAAGATAAGATAACATGGGAAAGAAAAATGAAAAGAAAAGAAAAGGAAACATAAGAAAGTCAATGAAAGGAAATAAAAAAGAAACATAAGAAAGAAAAATGAAAAGGAATAGGTAAGGAAACATAAGGAAAAAAATGAAAGAAAAGAAAAGGTCACATGAGAAAGAACAACGAAAGAAACATAAAGTAACATAAGAAAGACAAAGAAAAGGAGACAAAAGATAATGAAAGGAATAGATAAGGAAACATAAGAAAGAAAAATGAAAGAAAACAAAATGTCACATGAGAAAGAACAAGGAGAGAAAAATAAGGTAACATGAGATACAAAAGAGAAAAGAAAAGTTAAGAAAACAAAAAAAAAAAGGAAAATGTATTAAAGATAAGGAAACATGAGAAAGAAAAAGGAAAGTGGTAAACCGTCTATTCTTCCTGAAGCAGTCAGGAGTTGATACACAGTGAATGCACTTTTTTCGGTCAGTTGTCAGACCAACAATTGAATATGCTTGCCCTGTGTGGGGACAAACCAGCAAATGAACGAAATAAAAAAATACAATGCAGAGCGATAGGTTGTATCCTCCCAGGCATAAATTATCAAGAGGCATTAAATATATACTAAATTTGACGACAATGAAAGATAGATTACTACGACTTAGCGAGAAGTACTTCAAAAAACTCAAAAAAGAAGACCACAGACTTCATCACCTACTCCCAAAAGCGATAGATCATACTCATAATTTAAGGGGATGCCTAGAACATACATTACAGAAAGTCAGAACAGAGAGGTCCAACTTTATTGTTAATTATGGTTAATTTAAAAATTGGTATCTACTGTAGACGCTTTTTCCCTCTCAAATAATGAAACTTCTGAATATTTTCCGTGGTAATTTCTGTAAAATGTAATTTCTGAATTTTTACAATATGTACAGTAATAATTTTAAAAATAATATTAATTTTATGTAATTTCTATATAAAGGAACTATATTTTTTTTTTATTATTACAATGTGTACAGTAATAATTTTAAAAATAATAATAATAATAACGATAATTTGAAAACTAATAACAAGTATATAAACAATTTATATTTATAAATTTTGTAAATAAATATTAAATATAACAAAACAATCTTTAATAATAATAATCGGAAGTTTTACTAATGTGTATTTTAAAAATTAAAATTTAATCTCAGTGAAAGCGTTAAATATTGTTGCAATCCCACATTTTTTTGTCTCTTTTTTTGTAACTTTTGCAAATGTTTTCTGTTTCCATACTGTATGCTTCCTTCTGTTAAACTTCAATTTGAATTGTATTTTTGATACAAATTGCAATAAAGTATCATATCGTACATTGAGCACCAATTTTGGTGCTGATGTTTGCGCTTTAAAAATCGTTATTATTATTATTATTATTATTACTTTAGGATTGACTCACCTTTTCCTAGCTTGAATTGAAATAGCGAACCCCGATCACGACTAGAATCAAATTGTTCACCATTCAACAATGTTCCTACATAATGTACAGATACTTCATCTCCCGATGCTGGCCGATCTTCCTCCGTGTTGTCACCCTCTTTAATTATTTTCTTGAGCACTCCTCCATCTTTATTTGGAGTAATGTCCTCTAAATTCTCATCTTGAAGTTTAATTTCGCCTTCTGCGCCTTCTGCTTTAGAATTGCTTTCAACTGTCATTCTGTTACTGTGTATTTGATCTTGCTTTAAGAATACCTGAAAATATAGTTGTTAAAAACTGTTGCTGATTACAACTAAGAAACAAAGTAGGAATATAACACTCAATCCAATTTGTTCAGAGTGAATTGGGGGGAAAATTCAAATTTGTCAAAAAGTCAATCATCCTCTTCTGAAACACGAGAAGGTGAGCATAAATGGTAGGAAGCATATGCACACTGAATTTGGGTTTTCACCCATTCCTTGGGTCTACCCCTTCTCTTCATACAGCTTGCAAAAGTACTTCAGTCAGAGTTGTACGGTGCTTGTGAAGAACACTCACAAGTCCCTGCAAGCAAGACAGAACCTTATTGCTGTCTGCTTTTTTTTTTTTCATTGTTAGGACATTGTTTGGGCCCTGTCCATTTTTTTTTCCTGTTCATTGTTGGCACTTTGTTCCATGCTTCATTAGTCAGATAGGTAGGCCTATTTTTCTACTTAATGTCGAACAAGGGGGAATGTAACTGCGTGACCCCTCACAGGGTTCACAGCCGCGGATCCCCCGTTTTGTCACTAAACTTTATAATTCCAATGCATATATTGAAATTATCGCTACTCAGTTATCTATTCTGAAAATGCTGTGCCCCCACCCCACCCCGCCCCATGTTTGAAAAATTCTGGATCCGCCCCTGGTCCATTGCACCCAGCCTCTCACTGAGGAACTCTGGGTCAGTACATTTGCATCCTCAAAACAGGTGAAAGGCACATATTTATATTTCTAATATTAATACTAATACCAGCCAACTTTTATACAGATTTGCAGTGTCCTCAAGATTCCCCACCAAACCCCACCCACCTACACAATGCTGTAGCCAGCCATTGGGACAGTCCCACACATTTTTTCTAATGGGTCCATAAAAACTGTGTCCCCATTTTTTTAAATGGGTCCAAATTATGCAGTTTTATGCATAAATGAGTCCACTTTTTGAAAAATGGGTCCATAATTCTCATATTTAACCTGTAGCGGTAATTGGTAAATTTTTAATAAAATGGGTCCAGATTTTTCATATTTTTGCGTAAAATGGGTCAACCTTTAAGAAAATGGGTCCACATTATTTGAATTTATGCGTAAAGTGGGTCCCCACCCAGATATTGTCCCGCACTGTTTGGAAAATCTTGGCTACGGCATTACACCTACAGTAGGCCTACTATTCTAGGGCAGCAGGGTCCTGGGCCCCGTCAGAAAATCTCTGGATCCTCCCCTGACCATAGACACTCTTGTTCACATCAGCAGAGCAAAAGAAAGAAGGGGTGCCATGATAAATGGGTCGTCAAACCATGGAGGAATTATTCTAAACTGGCTCAGTTCCTCTATCCATGGTCAAACCAGGGAATTGTTGGTCAAATTCAAGATTCAAGAAGTTAGAACGGATCATAAACGGCTTCAAACTTACACTTACTTGCAAATATAGCCACAAAAATCGAAACAAGTTATATGAACTACTAACACTGTTCAAATGGTATTCTTATCTTGTACCTGAGGTGCGTTCCGACCCTGCACAAGGGATTTCTAGAATTTGCCAGTTCGCCTGAGCGTGACTGAGTTGAATCAATGTTGAATACAAAGAAATACAACACTGTAACGCCTGACTTCAGGCCCCTAGGCCTAGGTTAGGCTCGACCGGTATTCTTTATTTACGATGTAATCATTAGACATTATTTTCACTAAATTTAATATAATTATATAAAATATATTCCTAAATTATATATTGGGTTTAAAAACTCAGTTAGTATTATAAAATTATAAAAGAAAGAAGATTTATAAAGCTTAAGTAGAATACGCTACTAAATGGGAAATCCCCTTTAGATTGTGGTCACCTGACGCTGGAAAGGTATAGTCACATGATCAAACAAAATTATGAACCTTGCATGTTGTGTGGATACATCGTTTCTTCCAGGCAAGTCCGAAGTCAGTCAGTCACAATATTTTTTTAATCATTAACAAACTATTATTGATAATAGTAATATTTATTTGCTACGTTATTGTAGAATATAATATTATCATACACTAGGTAGAATTTGAGTTATAAAAAACTGAAAATTATTGACATAAGAATTAATAAATAATAATATATTATAAGTCAGGCTAATACTAGGCCCCAGGCCCGGTTTAGTATAGCATGTAGTTGCAGGCTTAGTAAAATAGGTCCATGATAGAACTTTAGTGCAGTAGCTAAGCTAGTACCAACCAGACCTGGACTGGGTCTAACCTAATTTAATGTTGGCTAGGCGAGATCCGCTACGCCTAAAGGCTACCGCACGGCTGCTTAACTTAAAGACCAAGTAATTTCGACAGCTAATCTATTCTTTGATTATAAGAAAAATTAATCTTAATAATAATCTTAATACTAATAGTAATAATTATTTAAAGATTAATAATGATAAAATATTTATGATTATAATAAATTAATGACTACCATATTCATAAATGTACAAATAAATGTTTTTTTTTTTTTAATGTTTGTATTATCATAACTTTATTTGCATGCAGGTGCATAATGAATGTTGATAGTTACAAACTGTGTGAGGCAATCCTTCCAACAACTTACATACAGCAAGGAAGAGATGCCAAACAGGTGGGCATATGCTAAATTTTATTTTTGTTTGCCTGATTTGTGAAGTACACTTTAATGAGAAGAAAGATAATGGAAACTGTAGTTGATGGTGAAAAAACTAAAATTATTTCTGGTAGTCTACTATTGTTTTTTGTTCTTAGTCATATGTTTTAGAAAATGATAAGTGTGTTCCGTAGCATATAAACTCAAAGTAATTAGACAGAAATCATGAACTAAAAATGGTAAACCTGATTGTATAGGCTGAGATAACCATACATGTTTGGGGAGTCAAATAATCTAGTAAGTGTCATTCAAATAGGTTTAGTGTGTTAATTAAGCCTACTAATGAAGAATAACCAGTATTGTCATCCAATATCAGGCATAATAAATAATTATAGGCCTAGGTGTTTAAAAAGTATGTTTTAGTTGTAAGTAAACATACCTTCACTGATTATATTATGAATCATATGGATGTACAGTAGACAATTTTTTTTAAAATGTATATTTGTTTTATTATGTATATTTGTTTTGTGTGTGTGTGTTTTTCATGATAAATTTCATACATACATTTAATATTCAATTGATAGGTACGCGAAAACAAGATTCGTGTATTACTCGAGAAACAGAAATGGCCAGAAGAAGGCTGGGATGATACCACCATTGAGTTGATGCTAAGTGAGCTTGCTCTAATGGACAGCAACAATTTCCCTAGCAACTGTGGTGTCGGTGAACGGGAGGCAAGAATAGCTTCATCTCTGGTGGCTAAAAGGCATTTCAGGTAGTCTTTAAGATTTCTATTTTCTTTTTCTTTTTGTTCTCATTCACCTCAAAATTAAATTGGCACCCAAAGCTGAATTGCAGTATTGTATCAAGCATTCCTACCAAAATTAAAATATACCAGACATAGATATTCACATTCACAATCAAGAACACATTTTAAAACTTGCAAATAAATTTTTTTTGCTCATAATTTAGTATTCAATAAAGTTAATAATTTATTGAAACATTAACATACAAGTTAAGCAGTACATATTTTGAAAGTTATGTTTCAATTTATACAGTATTACCTGTTGTAAATCAGAGAGAAATACGGTATACATTTATTATTCCTAGGCTAATTTCCCACCTTCTCAGTCGGTTAAAGTGTGTTTGCTGAACCGTGAAGATCTCTTGGTCCCCGGTTCAATTCCTATCGCTGCTTTCCTTGTGTTTCAGCTAGACGGCTGAAACGCAAGTTTCTAAAACTTGCCGTCTTTCAGATGAGATGTTAAAGCCGTTGGTTCCATGTCTAAAATGGCTTATGTGCACTTTAAAGAATGCAGTACATGCTTCAGAAAAGAGTAGGGGATTGTTTGTTGGTGTACTGCCAAATTCAGAAGGACTGCACTGGAAACAAGTCTTAGGACTTTCATGGGTTCTTTGAAAAGTGTGTATCTTACAGAAGAAATCCAACCCAACCAGTTCTATATGTTATGTTATTTTCTGCCAGTTACACAATCAAGAAAAAAAAATCAAAATAAAACTTGTGATTATTCATATTATTTTTTGTAGACTGTCATCTCTTTATAATTTTTTTTGAAAATCCTGAATTTGTTTATTTATTTTATTTTACATTGTAGTTTTTTCTAAGTTTAAGTCTACATTTGAGTCGGTTGAATAATATTTATTACTGTATATTTTAAATTAATTTTAGGCTTTTCATTGATTTTTTTGTAAGTTTATATATTTTAATATTTCAATCCTGTAGTTGGTGTATGTACTGCTGGATGTGCAATAAATAAATAAATAAATTTAAGACATTCTACCCTTTTTAATATCAGGAAGAAATAAAATTTACTTTTATTATTTCTAGACTTGGTCATGGTATTGGAAGGTCAGGTGACATCACGGCAGTGCAACCCAAAGCAGCCGGATCAAGTATTCTGATGAAGTTAACAAATTCAATGATGCTAGATGTACTCAGAATATCAGGTGTGTATTATGCAGCCACTACAACCAAAGATAATAAATAGAAGAAGAAAGAACAGTTCGCAATATAGTGGAATTATCCATGAGGGAGTCCAAGAGAGCAGTTTTCCACAATCCGAGCAGTGGCGCTATACCTTTTTGGTGGGATAACTCTCTGGTTCGTTTGTTTCATTAGTTTCTCCACTCAATCAAATAATTTTTGTGTCTATGCCCCCTCGGAGGCAAAGACACTATTTTATTATCTGGCAATTAAAGATGGAGGGAAGGGTAAATCCGGTGGAGGTGCATGATGGGTCATGTGTCGTCTTAAGTACCTTATTACTGTACAAGTCACAAAAAATGTACACCACAAATTTTCAGATAACTGAATGCCATGTGGATACTTTATTAATAAACATAATACAGGCAGTATAGGGCACAGATGCACGCTCCTGCTGGGAGGCTATTTTCTTCTGTTCTCGAGAGAATAGTTTATTACCTGAGTTGGTTACCTGGATATTATTTCTGTTTAATTTTTATGAGCTTACCCCGATTACACAAATGTCAGTAAATTATACTGAATACAGGATATTCTAGCACTGTGATTATTATTTATCTATTTGTTTACAGTCCTATGCAGCAAACCACATTTAATAGTATTTACCAACATTTTCGTATAAATTTATGATTCTAAACTATTTTCAATTCTTTGCCAGGAATCAGAAGTACAACTACCTGTTTCATTGTTCCCACGGCAACTGGAATGGCATTAGTTCTGTGCTTGCTAGCATTGAGGCAACAGCGCCCCCAGGGGAAATATGTTATATGGCCACGTATTGATCAGAAGTCATGCTTTAAAGCTATAATCACTGCCGGTTATCAACCAGTAGTAATCGAGAACATCTTAGAGGGAGATGAACTTAGAACCAATATACCAGAAATTGAGAAAAAAATAGATGAACTTGGGGCTCAGAATATTGCCTGTGTTTATTCAACAACAACCTGTTTTGCTCCAAGAGTTCCAGATAAATTGGAGGAGATTGCAGGCATTTGTAAGAAGAACAGTGTTCCGCACATTATCAATAATGCCTATGGTGTTCAGCTTTCAAAGTGCACACACTTAATTGAGCAAGCTGCAAGGACTGGTAGAGTTGATGCTTATGTACAAAGTTCAGACAAGAATTTTCTTGTCCCTGTTGGGGGTGCTGTTATTGCTGGTTTTGATGAGGGGTTCATCAATAAAGTTGCACAAACTTATCCTGGTCGTGCTTCAGGCACCCCCACGATTGATCTGTTCATTACATTGCTGTCTCTTGGGGTCAAAGGTTATAAAGGACTTTTAGCTGAGAGGAAAAACTTATTTGGTTACCTAGCAACAGAATTATCAAAGGTTGCAGAAGCTAATGGTGAACGGGTGCTATCAACTCCACACAACCCAATATCCATGGCGATGTCACTTAGCAACCTAGAAACACAATCTGATAAACCAATCACACATTTCGGTTCCATGCTGTTCAAACGAAATGTTTCTGGAACAAGGTAACTGCAAAACACATTTTTTTAAAATAGTAATCATGTTTTGAGAAAGCTTGGCATTTAATTTTGTAAATAATGTTAAGATCAAATCTCAATCAAATTTCAATGTAAAATAATGTTTCTGCACAAAAGCACACCTGCACCTCTGCTCTCAGCAAACACTATAGTGAATCTTGCCTAAATGTGGACTACATTTTCTTATCTTTGTCATCATCAGTGTGCTCAATATATTACTCACAAAACCTTTACTCAACCAGGTATAAATTAGATTACTAGGGCTTTCCTTTAACAACTGCATGATGTATTTTCTTTCTCCTACTAGCACCTGCACTGTCTCACAACTGTACATAAGAGAGGATGCCACTGACCTTAAACTTCTCACATTCCAGTGGCGGATCCAGGAATTTAGGGGGCCCAGGGAGAGACCTTCACAGAAGGGCCTAGACCACCGTAGCACCACCATGGTTGGGGCTGATGTAACAAAATTTATGAGTATGGCACTCTACGACTTAAATTTGAATATAATTTCCTCCTCCTATCTCCCCCCCCCCCTCTTTGAATCTGCCACTGCATTTGCTAATAATGGTCTATACTTCTTACAGAGTTGTTTCAAAGGGTACCAGTAAAGAAATTGGTGGGATCACCTTCATGAATTATGGCTCTCATTCAGACAACTACCCCTACACATACATCACCGCTGCAGCTGCTATCGGAATGACTTGCCAGGATGTTGACCTATTCATTAAGCGCCTGCAAAAGGTTATTGCAAAGTGGAAAAATGATGGAAAAGTTAATGAAGTTGGAAATTCAGTTGAATAAAACTACAGGTGTCCCTCGCCAGTTAAAGACCACTTTTGGGACTAGGGTTTCCATGGTCATTACCAGCTTTGGTCCCAATTAGAATAACAAAGATAAATGAAATTTGTTAATCTGGGACCACAGAAAAGTGGTCTTCAATTGGTTTTGTGCACATACTTCAGTAAGAGTACTGCAGTATCTCTCAAAATATTCTAGCATGACAGCTGAAGATGATTATTTTATCAAGTATCAATGAATACTTATACAAGACAAACTACGTTTCTTTCAATAGGGTTTTTAATATAATTAACGGACATACCACTTTTAATTAAAAAACAGCACCAAAATGTGTTGTATTATCTCATTATACTGGTAATGTAATATTAAATTACTGTATTATTATTATTATTATTATTATTATTCACATCATTATTCTACTCTTTTGTAGTTAATAAATAACATGAATGTAAAGCAGGCAACACCTTTAAGTCTATTAATTACTGAGTAGCACAGATACTCTAAGCACTAGAGGTTGTGACTATACATGCGATATAGACCTACCACTATACATTATTTTGATAAGAGATGGAATCTCTCTAGGCCTACGAATAAAACCATGTGTTGCTGTTTCATAAAAATATGTTGCATTATGGTTTGTTTATTGTTATAGTTTATTGTTATAGTCTTTTTACTTATGGTTGCTCTAAAAAGGGCCGTTTGTTTTGAATATTTTTGGGGTTTTTGATGACGTCATCGTCGATACGAGGCGTACGTAAAACCGAGGTTATACGCCCATATTTTGTTGTAATATGACTTCATCATGCCCATACATGGGCACACAGTCTACATAAATTTGTCGGTGTGCACAGAGGCTTATGTACACTATACACCTGATAATCATCATTACCGCCATAACTGTACAGTATACTGTATCTCAGTAGTTTGATATTAAAGTTGACCACTACCCCTTTGCACTTGAACGTATGAGATGAGCAATGGTTTGCAATGTTTCCTGATTCTTGGTTGTTGTAGTATTACTTTTTAAGAAGGACTTCAAATTTTGCTCAATGTCACTTGACCAAAAACGAACACCTGCAAATGAAAAATATAAAATTAACCAAACATTAACTAATTTAGATTTTCTACAGAAACAGTTGGATGGGGTCCAATTTGTAATTACTAATATTTAAAAAAAAATAAAATGTAATATTTGCAATTTGTAGAATTAAGCAAACCCTCTTACACAAGGAAATGTTACCCTGGACGTTGACCATGAGTAGTTTATGTTTACATTGATACATACTACAAGGGATCTTAGCAGGGCAACAGGGGTTGTATGGACCAGAACCCTTACTTATTTTGGAAGATACACTGGGTTCTTTAAAGTGCACATGGGACAATTTTGTACCCTAAATAGGCCTATGGTATATAGTCCATATCTGAAAAGACCACCACCAGAACCATGGTGAATGTGATTCTCGAACCAGCGACAATATTATACTATGGCTATAGGTTACGGCGCCCCCGCCTTAACTGCTCGGCCATTTGACTCGTAATATGTTTTACTCCTGTAAAATACTGGTTATGGCAAGTTTAGCCATTAGTACCATGTACCTGTGAGCAAATGCCACCTGGACGGTTTAAACACTAAGGCTTAGCTGAAATTTTCTACTATGCGACTTCTGGTGGAATTAATTAGTTAAACTTGTATAACAGTGCAGTAAAGTGTTAAGTCCAAGAACAAAATACAAGTTCTCATCCTTGGATGGAAGTCAATGCATAGCCAACATGCCTCCAGACTTGAAGTAATGCACTTACCTTTCATGGCACCTGCAAGGTCCTCTACATCATTTACATCAAGAACTCCAGAGGGTGCTCTCACTACAGTTCCTTCAATCCTTCCTTGATAGGTGTGAATTAAAACAGACAATTCACCTTGTGTTCTTTCAACACTGAAGCGAGGTGACTTGCCAAATACCCACTTCCACATCTAATAATAATAATAATACAAATTTAGTAGTGCATCAATTCCTAAGAAAGGATCAAAGGCGCAGTGTACGTTAGAGCTAGATGTTAAAGAAATGAGTTTTCAGAGAAGATTTAAATGCAGAGATAGGAGGTAGATTGTTCCAGAGAAGGTGGTATTACCCAGCAAACACAAAACATTCTTATAACGTTCGTGAACGTTGTGGTGTATGTCATGTAATAATGTTCACACAACGTTATGAAATTAGGTTATAAGTCCGTAAATGTGGTTCTACAAAATAACGTTTTATCACCAAACTGTAACGTTATTGTTAGCTGGGTTATATGATGATGAGAGGAGGTTTTAGGAGGAGGAACGAAGTTGACAAGGAAGAGGTTCAGCAAGGTATGGGGGAAGCCTAAATGGATTGCTTTGAAAGTTAATTAAAAAGTATTTTAAACATAATGCTTAAAAATGTTTTGAACATAATAGAAGCGGTTTGGCGCAGCGGGAATGGTTTGGTTTCCCAACCTCGAGGTCGGGGTTTCAATCCCTTGATGTGCATTTCGCTTGTGTCCTTGAGCAAGACACTTTATCTGCATATTGCTTCTCTCCACCCAGGAGTATAAATGGGTACCTGTTGGGGTTGCCTGCTCCTGCGCTGATTACCAGCAGCAACACTTAGCATGTGGACCCAATGACCAGGGAAAGGAACTGCGCTTTATAACCGCAAGGAAGAGGTGCATTATAAATGCCCGTACCAGTACCAGTATAATGCTATTGTTGACAGGAAGCCAAGGAGAGTAGAAATTACTGGGGTAATGTGACTGTGTCTCAGAGTCAAAGTACAGACACAGGCACCATATTTACAGATATAATTAACATAAAATTATTGAGTACTGTATTAAATTTGTCTGATCATTTTAGGTGTAGCAAAATAAATATTACTGAAAATCTCTAAAGAGTGTTCCACATGACTTAAAATTGAAAGCCCATAGTATAGGATGGAATAGTCAAAAACAAGGTTCAGTCAAGTATGTTCCAGCAAATAATTATTCAGTGGTCTAGACGTGCTGGAGAATGACAGAGTGACCAGGGGCGGATTTGTGGGGGGGGGGGAGGGCGACTCGGCCCCGGCCCCCCTTTTGAGAGGTTAAAAAAAAGGAGAAAAAAAGAAAGAAAGAAAAAAGAAAAAACGATAACCCAGAACGCCTCAAATGTTATTTTTGTGTTCTAAAACACAGAAATTTCAGTCTCCCCTTTTGGACATCTCTGGATCCGCCCCTGGTGACACTGGTTCCTCTCTAGTTTGTTGGCTTCCTTTACTTAGTTCCTCCTGTTAGTTTTCCCTGCCAATGAATGTTGACCTCAATTTTACCTTTAGTTTTTCCTTCATATCTGTAATACCTGGCCAGGTTTTTTCATCTGTGGGGTCCACTGTATATATCTATGAATAATATAATTATAAGAATAAGATAGTCTACTAATATGCAGAAAATACATATATTTTTTTTTGGTTTTTCTTCTCTTCTGGGGGTAAACTGGGGGGAGGCAAGAACATTTTCTGGGGGAGGGGGGAAATTCCCCCATATAATTTCCATTTAGCGTTCGACGATTTTTACAACTAGACATAGAATCCTGGCATGTACTTGTATAAGGGGTTGGGGCCCTTACAGATCGGGGCTCCTGGAGGTTGGAGGCCCAGGTTCAATGTAGTTACACCACTGTTTCCATTAAGCTGCCAAATTTTATGTGACAATTGTTTGTGTAATGCGCCCATATATTGGCATGAAGACGTCGTATTACAGTGTGGACAAAGCTTGTACCTTTGGTTCTTCTTGTGGCTGATGGATGGAATAATACTCCCTCGCAAGAGATGATATCACATCGTCATAGTTAACGCTAGAATCAACATCACAAAGATTACGAACAGATGAACGAATGCTTTCTGTTGCCTTGCTGTCTAAACCAATCTACAAAGATTATAACAACTTTTTAAGTCAAAAATCAATCATGATTAGTGTGATTTTCTGTCCAAACACAAAATGCGAGGCACATGTTTGTGTGCAGAAAACCTTAGAAAATACAAAAATATTTGTTTAGTTATAGAGTATATACAGTAACAGTAATACAAAGGCTTACATTTTCTATGAGAATATTTATATACTGTAGTAGGTGCACAACAGTACATGCTGTAGTTATTTCCTTCAATTAGGCACTTTGAGCGAGCGGTTTAAGTAAAGAGAGTTGGTAACCATGGAACATATCCAAAAATAGGATACCAAATTAATTTGAGAATATGCCACACACTGAGTGCGTTCTGGTTCATGGAAAAGCAAGACACTTTTTCTTTTCATTCTTCACTCTATTTTTATGATGCCTTCTGTCTCACATACACAACAAACACTCTTTATTGCATGTCCCAGGTGTACAGAATTATTGCAAGCAACTGCTGCTGATGAAAGACTGTGACATTTAACAGGATCCATCGACAAGTTTGATATGAGAGCATGTGAAAAACTCTGAAAAGATTGATCCAAGCAATAATTTACATACAGATAGTATTCAACTGAAGTGATCATTGAGGCATTGGATTTGGATTGGATTTATTCACTGTAGACACCAAGGATGACCCACTAAAGTCTGAAGAAGACTTATTTCCAGTGGGGTCCTTCTGGTGGTGAGTAGCCATTACACTAGGGGTCAATTCCCTCCTCTTTTCCACTGCATTCTTTAACGTCCACATGAGCCATATAATGTACACAGGACCAACAGCTTACGTCGGAAGGACTGTGCGCTATCGTAACTTGCATTTCTGCCCTCCAGCTAAAATACAGAGAGTAGCGATGGGAATTGAACCGATGGGAAAAGTCCACGGTTCATCGCACCCACAGTGACTACCACCAGTTTAGCCGAGGGAAGCTGCTTTACTAACAATAGTATTCAGCCCATATGTCATATAAAATCAGAAAAGACCACCAATATCTTATTTGTACAGTAACCCATGTTAAATCATGCATATCTACCAATTACAATTTAGATTAAAAAATCTTAAGCTTATTGAAGGTGGCAGCATACAAGAAGAATTAATTAATAATGTACAATAATTAATATTTTAAATAAAAGAGCAGGAAATACTATTAGACTCACCATGTCTACATGCAAGGCTTCCCTGAGTCTTTGTAGATTAACAGACATCATCAGTGTAAAATGATGATATGCTACGGAATGACCAAGTTTGGCAGAAGTTCCTGAGATGTTATCAGTGTTAAAGTTTACTGCACAATAGAAATTATTTATTCAGTTACAAACACTGTCCTCTTTTGCCACTGTAATAGTAAATTGTTGTATCTATAACCTATACATTGGTTCAAAAAGCCTTTGTTCATCCTTCCTACAATAGTTCATCATTAAAATGCATTAATCACTCATTTCATCTTTCACCTTCTTTAATTTTCTTTGTCATCATACTTGAGCCCGGATTGATACAGTATTTATGTTTAGAATTTCATTCATCAATAGACATATGGTTTCGTTTTTGTAATGACAAGGCCCATTTGTTGAGATTTACTGCATTCAGTACACTCACCTGACCTGAAGAAATATGTTGTGTGTACAAAAGTTTGAGTCTCACTAAATACATATTTAAAAAGTTTTACAATATGTCATTAAAGTCATTAGGCCGACCAGCCCTCCTTAAACTAACGTTAGAATACCGCACTTTCGGCGGTAAAGTACAATTAAAACCTCATAAAAAAGGCAACTAATCTGTTTACCTATAACTGAATCCAAGTACACCAGTACAAACACTCAGTACTTATCCTTGATAATGTGTTAATCCAATTAATATAGTGAGATAACGTAACGTTAGTTTATTGAGGGCGGGCTGAGCTAATAGTGCTAGCATGCATGTCATTTTAAAGCATATATTCTCTTAGCACATAACCAAATGAAGGATATTTTGTAAAAGTTATCAAGCAGCAAATCATCTCGATTAGAAATTGAAACCTGGATGCTCGGCCATCTTGCTCTAAGCGCCGCCACCATCAGCTCCAAGTTATGTCGACGATTATATTGACTTCTATCAGTAAAGAACGTACAATTTAAGTTTCCAAGGTCCTGACAGGAAAAAGTATTTTAATGTTTGAATTTAACAATTGAATGTTGATATTAAGAAAAGTATCAATTTAGGAAGAGGAGGAAGGACTCCCGTTCATGGAAGGAACTAATCATTTCCTTGGGAAACACTGCTATAAAAAAGCAATCTTACAATCTGTAAATGCCATTTTTTATGCATGTAAATGTGTCTATTCTTAAAATTAGACTACCTCAGCTCCACTAGTTTTAGAGTGTTGATCCTGTCTGGGAACTTGGACCTGGGAACCTCTAGCAAACCCCTGGCAAAAATGGACAGAGAAGTCCAAGGCCAGAGAGCTCCCATTAAGTAAGAATAGAACCAGCTTCACTTACATGATAAACAGTGCCTCCACCACTCCGTCGCCTTGCCAATTGTATATCGTTGTCAACTAATTTTTGAATATTGCACTCACTCCATGGATTCTGGTGTCGACCAATCACAACAGATGGTTTATTTCTCCATAGAAACAGAATATTTGTGTGTGTAAGGCACAAATTATCATGTACCCTAAAAAGATAGAAAGTTGAATAGGTCAAAATTGATTTACAAAGCCTTTCTTTAACATGAAAATAAAAAAAATATTATTTGGTGGTCTTATTATTATTATTATTATTATTATTATTATTATTATTATTACCAGTGGCGGATCGTCAAGCTAGGCAAGGTAAGCTCTACATACACAAGCTAAAACCAGGGAGTTGTTTATATTAATAATAACAACTTCCTGTTAAAACTCAAAAGAAACATTTCATTGTGCAAAATAGTGAAGAAGGTAAACTCATATATTGAAACCAATAATATATATACGTACTTGCGACGTTTCGATCTACTACCAGTATAACTTCATCAGGCAATGTCGGGTGCTGGTGCAAGTTGTTTTGTGAGGCATTACTAGGTCTTATGTAACACCATCCGCTCTCCAGACCATCAGAGTGGTTACTGGGGGGGGGCAGCTTTTCAGTAACATCACAAAACAACTAGCACCAGCACCCATCAGTGGCTGGTGAAGTTCTAAAGTAGATCGAAACATCGCAAGTATGTATATATTATTTGTTTCAATATATGAATTTACCTTGTTCATTTTTCAAGTTGATTGTTACACTTCGTTGGAATGTCTACGTTTAATATAAAATTATATTTTCAATACCACCTAGCTGTGAGTCAAGAGAATAGCAAATTAATACTAGTTTAGAAGCACTGCTTCCAAGAGTTTGTGTGCATGCTAATCTTCTCACAACTTCTCTACAGTAATATTGCTAGCCTAATTGGGCCTCCACTGCTGAATGGGTAATTTGTAATGACAATGTATTGCTTGACATTCTAAAATCTAAATGATTTTAAGTTAAAATAAATCTGCATCCAGACAGCAAGTACAGAAGAAACTTGTATACATTAAATTGTACCTTGGGTGGAGGGTCATATGATATCTGATGCAATCAGAAATGCTGATTAATTCAAAAGACCAATTAGTGTCACCAAACGCTGTTGGCGATTAAATGTAGTGATTTTATGGCAACCAGGCCGGCTATACTCGGCCCGAATAGTCCCCCAGAGACTGATGTTTAAGTGATGCGGAAAGTAGGAGTAACCAGTATTTTGGAATCCCATTTAACTATTAAAAATAAACCCCAAAAGTTGGAAATCAACTAATTTTAGTAAAAAAGGATAATACTACCTTATCAGACACTCATGAATTATCAATCAGTTCAAAACTTATCAATAGTACCTTTCACAAGGAATATACATGTACAAAACCTAGGTCAATTGCAAGGTATAAAAGAAATACAAAAAAAAAAAGACATAATAAAAACATACATTTAGAGAAACTTTGTGATACAATTTACGATCCTTGAAAAGATTAACAGTCGATGTAGGTTCATTGAAACTCCAAATAATGTATTAAAGATTGCAAAGACAAAACTTCACTTTTCAAAATCTTAAATAATGAACTTACCAGTCTTCAAATGCTAGATTTGAAAAAACGTCATTTGATCTTGATAAATATACCAGACCCTGAAATGAAATAATAAGTAATTAGCAGAGCTCCGCATAGTACACTATAGGAAAATTATTATACAAAGGTTAGATTTAATGCTTGAAAAATTTTTTGAATGCATTAAATCTAACCCAAGTATAATAATTTTCCATTTAGTGTACGATGCATGCTCTACTAATTGCTTTATAAGTCAATTGCCGTCATTTAATTTTAGTTTTTTATAACCAACTGTTGTAGCAGTCATCGGTTGCTAGTGGTATGATCAGTATACGTGTGCGTATTTACATTTAGCTGTGCGTATGCTGATTTTTGCTCCAGTACGCGTTTAATGGTTTAATTAACTACACATCAGCAGTACAGTACGGATACGATGAATAACTATTGTGTTAGAAAGAACTTGTTCGTAATGCTATTTTGATAGACTTTCGTCAAAGAAATAAACATTTCAGCATTCGAGAGAGAATACAGTCACTGACGTCCTTTTGGGTCAGTGTATGCAGACAGGTAAAACCATGCGATGATTTCATAATTAGGCTAGGCTACGGCCTGTAGTAGTTGGAGGCGGCTCGGGCGGCCTCCTGCCTGGCGGTAGGCCTACATCTAAATTTGTTCCTTGAGTCTTTAAAATAGGTCTAGAATATTCCTATTGTTCAGTCTGTAGTGTTTATGAGGGTCCATTGATTCTATGAATTCCTTAATTATTCATACTTAATAATTAATTTGCAGTAACTTTCTTCGGGTTCTAATTAAGCTTGTTTTACGAAAGTAATTTTCAATACAATTCAATTTTTATCACGGTGCGCAACTTATTCGCTGTGACAAAATAATGAGGAAATTTTTTTGCACACGAACCTAAAAAAAAACAAGCCAAGTGTCCACTAATAGAAAAATTAGTAGACGCTGGGGAATAGGCAAATAACATTGGAAGTTACAGTGATGACGTCACGATTGACTTATAATACTGATTAAGTATCTTTTACATATATTGTGGCTTGGTAGTTAAGAGCACTTGAAATTGCACACTGATATGTCACTGTAAAAAAATCAAAGGCAAGTTATTGTCTTTTGATAAATATTTTACTACACTTTTTGAAATTGAAACAATAAGACAAATTTATTTATACAGTACAAATTATTAATTTGTGGCAATTTAATCATTTAATTAATGCAATGAAAAAGCATAAATATGAAACTGAATTACCTGAGGAATCTTTGACTGTCTATGTACATTTCTGATGTTTGTAAATGTGCAGTTTGGCGGTGATAGCAAATTTTGTTTAAGTTGATTCAAAATGCAGTCTTTTTTCAAACTATGAAATAGCTGGAACAAACCATTAACTTGTGAAGCCTGCTTCCACAACGTAACATGTTGGACCATTCTCAAGTCTGTTTGAAGTACCGTAATATAACCTGAAAATTTAGATAATTCCTCTGAATTTTAAATTAATATTTTTGTTGTTAAGCTATTGTGGTGTTGGTACACGTTGGTATGCTAATAGCAAAGGGAGAATGGTATCAGCAGGAATTCAAAGTATCCAGGAAGGTAAGGGGGGGGGGGGGGGGGGGCCGCACTCACGCAAGCGAAAATCTCCGATCACAAATTCATAATATCTGCATACATTAAAATTTTACTACTTCATTCAATTCTCTCACAGGAATCAGTGCCGATGGGTATCCCCATGTGCAGCAAAATAAAATTAACGTTAACAAAACTAATTTAACCAAATCTGCCGGATGAGATTTTTTTCCAACTTAGGACCCCCGAGTTAGGCTGTGTTTAATACACAGTAGGGCTGTAGGCCTCGGGCTAGCATAGCAGGCCCAGGCTAGATCCTTTCGAATAGCCTAGCCTAGACCCTAGAAGTAGTAATTCTAAAGGGGCCTAGGGCCTAGGCTATGCCTAGTACTACTACTAGGCCTACTAGGCCTATAACCTAGCTAGGCCTAGGCCTAGGTCTAGGTCGGTGGTCAGGGTATTTACAGGCTGAAACATGCAATCACAACCACTAGGCTAGGCCTATACCTACTCTGACTTCAGTTACAAGGATTACTTTTAATAACATAAAAAAAACTGGGAAGCCTAGGGCCTACAGTAGGTTAAGTTTAAAGATACTAAAAGTTTTATAAATACCGCAAAAAATCACAACAATGCAAACCGCCCTCTTCGTCAATTCGTGATGAAGAAAATTCATAGAGCTATTAAAAAAAAAAAAATTATACTCTCGATCCTCGAAAATTAAAATCCGCTAAAAGTTCGGTTATAATAAAGGGAAATTGGTATTGGCCTACAGGTATATAATATTAAAAAGATAATTAAAAAAAATAAGTAAGTAAGTAAGTAATTATGTAAGTAAGTAAGTAAGTAAGTAAGTATGTAAGTAAGTAAGTAAGTAAGTAAGTAGGTAAGCAAGTAAGAAGCAAGTAATATGTAAAATAAATAAATAATATAACTAAAGTAAATAAATAATAATAATAATAATAATAATAGGCCTATTATTAATAATAATAATAATGATAATAATAATAATAATAATAATAATAATAATTATTATTATTATAAAAACAACAACAACAATAATAATAATGAAACAGTCTCTATAATCATGTTTGCTTTTTTTGAATGCATATATAGTAGATCAAGGCCTATCTCGGGTTAGCTAGTTCTGTTAAATGATTATAATCATCAAGCGCATCATCAAGCGCATCATAGATGATCTACAATCCGTCCTACATGATGAAGCCCTCAATGATATTTTTAAGGACAAACCTTTCATTGCCTTTAAACAGCCCCCTAATCTGAAACAACATTTAGTTAAAAGTAAACTTCCCACTAACAGCGACAATGGCACATTCTCTTGCAATACTAGGACATGCAAACTTTGTCCACATATCAAATCAAGTAACATTGTCAAAGGACCTAACAATAATCATTTCAACATAAAAGGCACTTATAACTGCATGTCATCCAACCTTATATATGCTATATCGTGCAATATTTGCCCTAATGCTCTCTACATCGGACAAACTGGACAAACACTAAGACAACGGATTAATGGTCATAAACATGACATCAAACACAAACTCACCCAAAAACCTGTAGCTAATCATTTTGCATCTTCTGGCCACTCAATTAAGAATATGAAAGTGCAAGTAGTTAAGAAAGAATTTTTCAAAAATAGTTTAGAACGAGAAAAGCTGAACAGAAAATAATTACACAATTAGACTGTATAGAACTAGGCCTTAACATTGATCGAGGATTCCTCGCACATTACCGTCAATAATTATTTCTCATCATTGTATGTATATTTTTATTTTTCTATAGCTGCCTTATTATTACCTATATTTTTGTCTCATAGTTACCTTACTGTATTTACTGCCTATTTACTGTTTTTATCATTGACTTTGATATAGACATATTTTGTATGCTATTTCCCACAGTTTCTTATCATTGATCTTTTGTTCTTTTAATACTGTTTATTTAGATTGCTTATTTCGGCAGACTTGTACTTGCTTTGTACACCATTCTTTGTTATTTTAGGACCGCCCCCATTATTTCAGTTGTATATTATAGTTGTTTCTTATCCCATTTGTACAGTCTCCTGATGAAGTCCACTGTGTGGACGAAAGCTAGAGAATAAATTATATATTGTTATCTCAAAAGTGCTGCTGTTTCTTACTTTATACTTTCTATACTGTACAGAATAACGCGGCTATACTTTTTATTCATCTAAAGTATATTAACGCAAATTTTGTTGCTAAACTGACCAATCGGCCATATTTGTTTTGGTCCAATGCACAAGTTAACGCTGATTAACGCATTCTGGTTAGGTTAATTTTCGTTGTCAACGAAGTCTATTTTACAAAACCGTCGAATGAAAATAATACTCAACGAAAATTCGTACTCAACGAAATGAACCAGTCGAATAAGCCATATAAGTTTTATTAAATGTCTCCCTCTATTGACGCAAAAGTTCGTTGGGGGCCAGGGCGGAAGAAAGAAAAAAGGTCGTTCTCCTGTTCGAGATTCCACGTGCGCGTTATAGTGGTACTTTTTATCATTACTAATTAGGGCAGGGATTTTAATCGATTTTAGCTAAAAAAGTTTAATGACAATTTTTAGCTTCTAAAATAAACAGGTAGTTGTTTGCGTGCCTAGGCAGGCATCTAGTAGGCCTATTTATGCGGCCTCCTAGTTAATAATTTATATAGGCCTACCTAGGCGGGCCTATCCTATCCTACTGATAGGAAGAACTGGCTATGCCTCTGGCTCTATCTAGCCTAGCCTAGGCAGCTAGAGTAGGCCTAGCCTTAGCATAGACTATTTTGGCGGTGTCTGATCAGGTGCTGTTGCTATTTCTACTTTCATCAATATATCAATTCGAGCGGATACAAATAAATTCGAGCGGATACAAATTCGAGCGAATGCTATTTCGAACGAATTCAAGCGGATTTTGCTTCAAGCGGATGCCTTTTCGAGCGGAAAAAGATCCACTTTTGCGAACAACGGGCTCTACGAGTTAATGTACAAATCTCCCGGAATTACTTCAAAATTTCTTATTTGAAGCTAACAATTTGATAGTTTGTTGCTCACTTCGGATTCAAATTTATTTGTGCCAGGATTTTTAAAAGGGGGAGCCGTTATGCACGGAACGAAGTACCGAGCTACGGCTGGGGGGCGATGACCCCGGTGAAGTCCAGGGGGAGCTAAGCCCCCTCTGAGGTAGGGCCCTCTGAACGTTTAAGGATGCAGTTTTGAGAGGATAAAGTGAAAATTGCAATAGACACATCATAAATAATATTAGTAGGCCTAAGCCTAACAATAAAATGACTCCATGTTTAATGTCATACTCAACCAAGGAAGGGCGCATACTGCTTTGAAAGGTGGGGATGGGGAGACATTTTGTGAGTCCACACCCACCTCAGACCAACCATGATGGTTGGGCTGAGGTGCGAAAATTTGAGGAAATTGTACCTCTGGATGGCCAGAAATAACACTTTATAGTAATTCTTCAGCATCACATCACCATTATATATAAGCCTAAAAAAAAAAAAAGTGCCAGCAAATTTCTCATGATATTTTATCAGGGATTTTCGGCAACCATAGAGATCTTACTAATGTGTGATATGCCGGGAAAATAAAGATTAAATATATTTGTCTTTGATGCACGTAGGCTACTGTACATAAATTCAAAGCCATGATTTCACAACCTCAGCCCCACCATGGTTGTGGCTAGGGTGAGAAAAGTTGAGGAATAATAGGCCTACCTCTAGATGACCGGAAGTGACACTTTTATAGTAAAATTCATCATCATCATCACATCACCATTTATATGCCATATAACATGATCATATTATCAGGGATTTTCGACAACCATAGAGATCTAATTAATATCCAGGACAATTAGGCCTGATACTAAGCTTTAACTACTATAATTATTATGATCCACAAATTTCTTTTTTGCCTTTAGCACAATTATTAATTTTATTAATATTATGTATTATCATAATCAACCATCATCATTATTATTACTACTTCTAGCTATAGTAGTAGATTAGTAGAAGCGGTTGGCGCATCGGTTGTGGCTTGGACTCCTAACCTCGAGGTCGGAGGTTCGAAATTTTCGCTGTGCAAATCGCCTTGGGCAAGGCACTTTATCTACGGTTGCCTCTCTCCACCTAGGAGTATAAGTGGGTACCTGGTAGGTTCCAACACAACTGCGCTGATTACTAGCTGCAATATTATGGAATAATAATATAATTTCATTTAATAATTTAATTTGGTGTTCAATGTGTTCCATATGTGTTTGATCCAATGACCGGGGTAGTAATGTGAAGCGCTTAGAGGCTTTGTTAAGGCATTAAGCGCTATATAAGAATGACATATTATTATTGTTATTGTTGTTATTATTATTATTAAACAAAACTTCAATGCTTGCAAAAGGGTAAAAACCAAACTGAACCATACAATATCACATTCTGTAAAAAACGTGGCCTGGGATTTATGAATTTAGGACGAATTTAAGTTTCATAAATCCGCCCTTGAGTGGTTGCCGTTATAAACCCGAACATTTTAATTTTTGCATTATCGTGTATATTGACAAAATTATTAATCTAACAAATATTCCACTGGGTTACTATCAGGTTAGCGGATGACTTTCATTGATAGAAGTTTATGGTGGGTTCCTATCAAAGTATTGGTCACAAACCTATTAGTAGAATGAGTCAATTAGAAATTTTACAGCATTTAAATCAACTCTGACTATGTGTATAACGTGTGCTGATGCACATTTACAAATTTTAGAAGTATTTATTTGAGTGATCGCAGGAAAAAATTTGTATTTGTTAGCAAGAACAAGATTTAAAATTCTAACACTGTTTACAAAAGGGGGGGGGGGGGGGGGGGGGGGGCC